AAGCATACTTTATCTGTTCAGAGTTTTTTGGGGGCTGGATCTGATTTTTTGTGAATCTGAAGCTTTTTCTGATTGTGTAAGCCAAACCTTAACCTGCTAGGCCCTATGCCATATTTGGCAGCTGGCTCTGCCCCCTTTGGTTCTCCTAACTGTCCCAGCTGTGCCTAACTGCTTCAGTTCTGGAAAGCTGTTGTGTCTGTGCTGTGGCAGGCATTTCTGTCCATCTCCCAGAAGTGTTAGCAGGACCTCTAAAAGGAGCTGAACCTCTGTACTCTTTGAGCAGTGGGCTCTGTGTATGTGCTGCATCTGTAGTGGTGGCACACACATTTAATCCCAGCATTTGGGAGGCAGAGGCAGGTGGATCTCTGTGTTCAAGGCCAACCTGGTCTACAGGGTGAGTTCCAGGACAGCCCGTGCTACACAGAGAAACCCTGTCTCGAAAAACAACAAACAAAAAAGCCCAGCCTTAGCTTAGTCTTGTTTCTAATTAGTTCTTATAACAAATTAACCCCTTATTTTTTAAATCGACATTCTTCTGTGAGGCTCATTACCCCATCTCCGTACTACCCATCCTGCTTCCTACCATCTGGATGCTGACTCTGCCTTTCTTTCTCCCAGTGTCCTCTCTGCCCAGAAGTCCCGCCCCGTCTCTCCTGTCTATCTATTGGCTGTTAAGCTTTTTATTACACCACTCATAGCAATACATCTTCAAACCTGCTTGCCTCTCAGAAGCTGATCAGAGGCAAAGAGTGTCCGTGGGAACACTGCAGCTGTGAATAATTCAGTACCACGTGACCCAGTTTGAGTGTAGCTTTGCTCCATACACAAAAGGAAGGCAGTACTTTATTAAAGGGCATCTGTTAAGGGACAAAAGTGCTTATGTCTGATAGCTTTTGAGACAAAGAGGAGAAAAAAAACCAGAAGAAAGGGAGCAGTAAGCATTTGAAACAATGGGGCAGGAGCTAGAGCAGACACTTAGGAAAAGCAATTATGAAGAGACCCGTCATATGTTCTTTCTGTGAGAGAGTTCGTTAGTTTCCTATATCTGTATCTGATCAAAAGTAGCCTAGCTGGACTGAGGCTTAGAAATTTAGGCTCATTTTCAAATAGCACAATTAGTATGATATATGGCAGTTGTCTTAGTTTTAATTGCCCTAAATGAAAAAGTTATTCATATAACAAACATGTTTATGTAGAGCCATGTGATGTACAATTCATGTGCAATTATACACTACATTGCTGTTTAAATCAAGGCAGAAACACCTGGGGATGTGCCCTACAGCTTTACGTGTGCTTAGACATGTGCTCTACCACTAAGTAGCCCCCAGCCCCTGTTTCTTTATGGTGAAAACATTCAAAACCCTTTGTTGTTGCTTTTTGAAATGGGCAATATGTATCATTATCTATACTTGTCCAAAGGTTTAAATTATCTTTAGGGGATGTAAACCTCACCACTTCAGAGAGGGTTTTCCTGAATACCCATTTTCTCTTTATTATTACCTCTTTTGCATAGACTATATTAGTTCTTGACCAGTATTTTTATATTTGTTTCTTAGTTTCTCTTTATCTCCCATTTATTAAATAAATGAGAGACTGAATAACTGGGTGCATAATGGAAGAGGCAAAGTACCTGTATGGTTTATAAGATCACAGAGGAAAGAGCACAGTAGGTGCTTATGACTGTTTGGCACAGTTCTTTATCTGTGCATGCTGTCAAAGACATACCAAAGTGAGGCTGTGAGTAGCTGGATGTCTGTGACAGAGTATCCTACTTCTGCCTGTGTCTTGAACACCTAGGGAACATCTCTTTCATCTATGCAGACACCAAAGATTGGGAGTGGGCTGGGTGTAGGGTTTCATGACTGTAATACCAGGTTTTGGGAGGACAGAGACAGTATTGGCATAAGTTCAGAGTTAGCTGGGCTACTTAGGGAGAGTGTTTCAAGCAAACAATTGTTGTGTGTGCAAGTTCTGAGAATAATATTGAATGTAATTGAATGTACTAATTTCTGTTACTGTTAACATTTTTCCTGCTTGAATCAAACCAAAACACTACTGAACACTGAATTAATTTGTAAAATTGGAGTTCTGTATGCTGAGAATTTAAAACTATAGAATGCACATGTGGGTAACATAAGGTCACAGCACACAATTAGCCAGTGTTAGGCCTTGGGAGAAAAAAAAAATCTTATTTCTTTGACTGGTCACTGTTTGTTTGACCAGCACATTGTTGACCTCAGAAGTCAGTCAGTACAACTGAGAAATGCTGGTAGTTGGTAAAGTGTCTGGAATATAAAGTTAGTATTAACCATGGTTCAGAAAGATGTATTTCACAATGCTGTAGAGGACACAGTATGAAATGTGAAACTACTGAGTAATAGGACACTGTACGGAAGGAAGTACAGTAAAGATTAGAATAATGACTGAGTGCATAAATCAGGTGCCTTTGTGGAGTGACTTGGTAGCCACTAAATACTGAATGTTGACAAAGGGTAGCCATAATTCTGGCTGATATGTTAACAAAGTTATTAATTTCTAAGGGTTATTTGGATGTAGGGGATGAATCAAGACAATTTGAAAGTGGTCTAAATTCTTGATTTTTGGTATAGCACAAACCTACTTTTTATTCAGAAATACACAAAGTAATGGGAAAAAAATCGAGGACCCAGCAGTATAGTTAATTCTCTGTGTATGGTGTTTAGCATGCCATTTCTAATTGGGAAAGGATAGATCTAAAAGCCATGTGATACAATGGTTATTGCTTGTTTAGTTGGAAACAGAAACCTTCTGAAAGTACATATTCAGATTCCAAAGAAAGGAAGATTATTTTAAGTATAACATTTCTTTATGTATTGAGTGTTTGCACTCTGTGCTTTGATGACTTGCAGAAGTTGGCTCTTTCCCCCACCATGTGGGCCCAGTGACTGAACTCAGTCACCAAACTTGGTGGTAAGTACCTTGTACCCACTGAAACATGTTGCTGGCCCTGGGTGAGCATTTCAGTATAAAATATTAGTAAAATACTATTATAAAACATCTAATTTTAGTCTTGACGTAGATACCAAAGTTAAAAGCTGATAAGAGAACAAAGTTGATTCATATAAAGTTTTATGTTAAAGAATATTTCATAAGCCTCATTAGAGACAAAGTGCTTATCAGTAATTTTCTTCCCTCAGAACTACTTTTTTGTTTCAGCATTAAATTTTAACATTGAAACATTAAAAAATTTTATCATTAAAGTAAAAACCATTTTACTTTTGACCTGTCAATTCTTTGTGAAAATGTGTGTAAAAGTGAGAATTAAAAAATTTTCCTATGTAATATAAAAGGTCTTCCCCTGCATTTGTAAAGATTTATCTTTATTTATGTGTGTGTGGGTGGTTTGCCTGTATGTGTGTCTACCATGTGCATGTTGTGCTCACACAGTCCAGAAGAGAGTGTCAGAGTTTTAGATGGTTGTGAGCTGCCATGTAGTTTCTGGGAATCCAACCTCGGTGCTCTGGAAGACCAATTAGTGCTCTTAACTGCTGAGCTATTTCTCTAGCTCCCTCTCCCACTTTTTAATTGGAGACAAAGGCTCACTATATGTAGACCTATCTGTCCTGGAACTTGCTCTGTAGACCAGGCTGACCTTGAATTCACAATGATCCACTTCCTCTGCCCTCCAGGTGCTGGGATTAAAGGTGTGCATTACTATGCCTGGCCAAAGTTCCCTTTTTAGATTTATTTAGGAAATCTATAAGATGCGCAAGTACATATCCAAAATGTCCTTTTTTGTTTGTTTGATACACAGTCTTGGTATGTAGCCCAGGCTGGCCTTAAACTGTGGCAGCTCTTCTGTCTCTGCATGCCTAGTTCTGGGATTACAGGTGTTAGCCACCGTGTCTGCCTCAAAACACATAAATTCTATTCATGTATTACTGTTGTTTATAACTGCATATCCATGATATGTTTTGGGAGCATACACACCTTGGTGCACATGTGAAAGTCAGAGGACAACTTTTGGGAGTCATTCCTCTCCTACTTATGTGGGTTATGTGGGTTCTGAGGATGGAACTCGGGTTACCAGGCCCATTTAGCAAGTGCATCCCCAGCTCCAAAATACCCTTTTAAAAATCAGGTGTTTCCAATGAGGAAAACAACAGATTTTCATGATAGGGTCTCTCTGTGTAACAGCTCTGGCTGTCCTGGAAGTCACTCTGTAGACCAGGCTGGTCTCAAACTCAGAGATCCACCTGCCTCTTCCTCCCAAATGCTGGGATTAAAGGCATATGCCACCACCACCCAGCTTCACCACTAAAAAGTTACTCAGAAATCTCTCTCTCTCTCTCTCTCTCTCTCTCTCCCTCTCTCTCTCTCTCTCTCTCTCCTCTCCCCCCCCCCCCCCCCCCGTGTGTGTGTACGCACACACACAGAATACCTTGGTCAGTCTCATGCAGGCTCCCTGGTTGCTGGTTCAGTCTCTGTGAGCCCTTATGAGCCCTGGTCAGTTGATTGTGTGAGTGAGTGTTCCTGTGATGTCCTTGACCCCCCCCCCCCCCCAAGGCTCCCACAGTCTTTTCTCCTCCTCTGCAAGAATATCGAACTCCCTAAGGTTTTGCTGTGTCTCTGCATATATGTGACAGCCGTGCAGCTTGGTCTTCTTGTTAGACTCCTGACAGTGGGGAACAGGGGCTGTCTCCTTATTTTGTTGACTTTTTGATTCTATCTTCATACGGGATCACCTGCCGAGCCCTAACACATGGGAAGTGCTTAGTTTTACTGCAATTTGATATGCCATGTTTATTGGTACTCTCATAGGAGAGGTACCTTTTCCTGGGTAGAGATGGAAGAGGAGGGGATTGGGGGTGGGTGTGAGGAGACATTGGCCAGGATGTAAAATAAATAGATGAATTAAAAAAAAAAATAGGTACAAATGCAGTATTAATACTAGAAGATCATATGATGTTATGGCTCTTTATTATTGATTAATTTAACTTGAAATGTTTTATTTTGTTTAGTCAGGTCAATTCAGTGAAGATATGATACCCACGGTGGGCTTCAACATGAGGAAAGTAACTAAAGGTAACGTCACAATAAAGGTACGTCGCCTTCTCATACTCTATGCATTTATGTGTGTATTGACCTGCCCCTCTCTTTATACTTGATTTAAATAGTAGTCAAAGAATTTTCTGTTCTTATGGTTTTACCTGCTATTTATAATTCTTAAGTAATGGTTGGATTGTTCCAAAAGACTGTAAGTTAGTTATTTATATTTTCTGATAGGTTAAGTGTTTAAGAGTTGAAATGTTAAGTCCATAAAAGTCAATTAACCATGTGGGTTAGTAGAATTACCATTTGATATCTTGAGAATTCAGGCAATAACAGTCCTGTCTTTAGTCTGAGCAATGTTGTATATTAAAAGGTGGTAATTACGGTAACATCTTAGTATATTTGTGGTAGCAAATATCATAATCCAGTTTTTTTTCCCTTTCTTCATTATTAAGCCTAAAGTTGAAACTTAAAAATAGGAAAAGTGTAATTCATTTTTAGCATACTTTTTAGCTCCTGGACTGTAGGAATAATAGGGGACTTAATTTTTTTTCTTGTCATCCTGGTTTTCATTCTATAGTTCCTCTGAGTTTAGGCCTCTAGCCTGAACCATGTCACCCAGTTCTTGTTGACAGATCTCTTTGCTAAGTTATCTCTGTAGCTTTTCTGATGACACTAATCATTTTGTCAGTGCTTCAGCTGGAAACTTTAAAGAAAGTCACAACTTAGATTTTTACAGTGCTTAATAGAGTAGGCAAAACAGTGAGATTATTATGGAGAACTCCAAGGGAAGTAATGTTACTTACAGAATGATTCTAAAACTTAGGAGGTCCTGAACTGTTGGGGTTTTGTTGTTGTTGTTTTGTCTTGGCATCCAAGTCTGGATGTTGCATGTTTTCATAGATGTTAAAGTTATTATAGCTATCATGTATCCACGATTAGAAATATATTGGGTAGTAATTAATATTTAACCAAGTCATTGCTCAAGCAGAATTTTTCTTTACTTTTTTAAAATTTAAATTAGAAACATTCTTATTTTACATATCAATCCCAGTTCTCTCTCCCTCCCATGCTCCCCACCAGCCTCCCCATCCATTTCCCAGAAAGGGTGAGGCTTTCCATGAGGGATCATCAAAATCTGTCAAGTCATTTGGGGTAAGGCCTAAGCTGTACCCCATGTTTCTAGGCTAAGGGAGTATCCCTCCATGGGGAATGGGCTCCCGAAGTTTGTTTAGATCTCACATTCACATATTTAGAATTTGAAGTTGGGAAGGGGTTGAAAGATTTCACAGATTGAGTTTGGGTTTGAGGCTTTAGTACTACTTTGGTTCTGTAACATTTGACGTGTCTGTGACTGTTCTCCACTTTTGGTAGTAACTTCATCAATGACTACTTGAAATGTCCTTATTAAGAATTTCCTTGTTTTGATTAAAGATCTGGGATATAGGAGGACAACCCCGGTTCCGGAGCATGTGGGAGCGGTATTGCAGAGGAGTCAATGCTATTGTGTAAGTTGGTGGTGGGCTTTTTTTTTTTTTTTTTTTTTTTTTTCCCTCCTTTTGGTTTGTCAGTTTAGTCTTGGGGGGGGAAAATTAATACTTTCAAGGGTAGGCTTAATATCTCAGACAATAATTGTCTTTCTTAGCTAATATCTCAGTTTAATTTCATTAACATGGAATTTTAAGAAATCATAGAATAAGGGCTGTGTTGATTTCTATATTCAGCTGAGCGCTGTGCTTCATATTCCTAAGTATAGCATCTATTAATTAGTCTCTGAATAATTAGTTAAAAGTATTTATTCATGCTGATGTAGGACTTAAAGATCTGTAATCCTAGTTCATTGAGATTCATAGAGATGGCATGTTGATCATGTTGATATCTCTTTGTTTTTTAAGTTACATGATAGATGCTGCAGATCGTGAAAAGATAGAAGCATCTCGAAATGAGCTCCATAATCTTCTAGATAAACCACAGTTACAAGGAATTCCAGTAAGTTTGGAGAATCTGGTATTTTGTATTTTTAATAACTTTTTTTTTTTTAAATGGAGACAGGGTTTTTCTATAAAGCACTGGCTATTGTGGAACTTACTCTGTAAACCAGGCTGGCCTTGAACTCACAGAGATCTGCCTACTTCTGCCTCTCAAGTGCTGGAATTAAAGGTGTGGACCATCACTGTCCATTGCAATTATATATTTAACATTGAACCTGCCTTGGTTTTAGGATCCCTATTCCCCACAAGTACAGAGATCTGAAGATTCTCAAGATGTTTTTCATTTTCTTTTTTTGTTTTTTGTTTTGTTTGAGATTAAGCTTTATGATATAGCCTGGGATGGCCTCAAACTTGTGATCCTGTTGCCTCAGCCTCCCAAGTGTTGGACTAATAAGTCTGCTAGCAGACCCGGCTTCTTGGGTTCTGTTTGGAAAATGGTATAGTGTTCACATGCAAATTACATATTCTTCCATGTGCTTTGAATTAAGTTTCGATTAATAACAATACTTAATACAACGTAAGAGTTTTGTAATAGTTGTTGACTGTACTGTTAAGGGAATGATGGCAAAGGGAAGACTGTACATATATTCTCAGTGAGGTCACAGCCCCCCTTCCATGTTTTTTGCTTAGCTTCCTTCCTTCCTTGCTTCCTTCCTTCCTTCCTTCCTTCCTTCCTTCCTTCCTTCCTTCCTTCCTTCCTTTCTTTTTGATGGATTTCACTCTATAGTTCAGGCTGGCCTGCATCTAACTACAACGTAGCCCTCCCTGGCTTGCCTCAAATTGGATATCCTTCTGCCTCAGTTCCCAAGCACTAGAATTAAAGCTCTGAGTCTCCTGCCTGGCTTCCCATGTGCTTTTGATATGCAGTTGGTTGTAACCAGACATGGAGCCTGCTAATTATATTTGAAATTAGTAAAATGTCTTTTTTAAAGATTAAGAGTACTTTGGCTCCAACATTGTGAAATTGAGAAATTGAAGTTTTATCTTTCTGATCTTTCTCTACTACTTAACAGTATTTCCTCATGTAATTACTTATTTAAGTACTTTCGTTAAGAATTGTTTCTCACCTGGTTGTGGTAGCTTTTGTCTATAAACCCTGTGCTTGCAAGCCTGAGGTGCGAGGAATGCTATGAGTTCCAGGCCAGCCTGAAAAAGTCCTATGTTGATCTGGTGTGTGGGAGAATAATCCCTGTTCTGGGGTGTTCTTAAAAACTGGAGTCACTTTTGCCTAGTCTCTACTGGATTCTGGATAGTGTACTGTCTATAGATGCCTTCACTAGACCGTCGACAAACTGTATAAGCCCATTCAAGACATGGGCTTACTGGCCTCATACAATGAGTTATTGTTGATTTATTCTTTTACTCCTTTGGGGCCCGCCAAATAAATACATGGAATTTTATTCTTATCAATGCCAAGCCTTAGCTTGCCATGCTTCTGGCTGCCTTTTCTTAAATTATTCAGTCTATCTTTTGCCTCTGGGCTTTTTATTTTTCTCCATTTCTGTATACCTTTCTTTCCTTCTTACTCCATGGCTTGCTATGTAGCTGGGTGGCTAGCCCCTAATGTCCTCCTCCTCTTCTTTTCTTGTTCCTCAATCTCTTCTCCCCAGATTTCTCCTCCCATTTATTCTCTCTGTTTACCAGCCCTGCCTATCTTTTTTCCTGCCTTCCTATTGGCCGTTAGCTCTTTATTAGACCAATCAGGCAAAAGTGACAGCCAAAAGTGACACAGCTTCATAGAGTTAAACAAATACAACATAAAAGAATGCAATGCATTTTTGAACCATTAAACAAATGTTCTACAGCATAAATTAATATTGCAGATCTTCAATATTCTGCAACAACAATGTATTTTATCCATATTTCCCATCCACTCCTCCCTCTCCCTAATTCCTCCCCAGTCCAACCTCACCCAACTTTGTCCCCCCTTTAAAAAAGACTTTATGATCCACTGAGTCCAGTTTATGTTGTTGTATTCTCATGGGTATGGGACCATTCATTGGCGTGTAGTCAATTTATTAGGGGCCACATCTTTAAAGAGAGATGACTCTCCCCCCACAGAAGCCATTAATTAACTCTATTAGCTCCTGAAAAAACGGGGGAGGTCACTTATATCCGTATTTTCCATATTTGTATTTGATGTATTTGATTGACACAGATAAACCCTTAGCTGTGAAGATTTTTTTTTTCTTTTAATAGCTTGTCTGTCCTGAACTAAATATGTAGATGAGACCAGCCTCAAACTCACAAGTCTAGCACCCTCAGCCTCACCTGCAACTGTGAAGATATTTACATTTTGGTTATGATTTTTTTTTAAAAGGAAGTTTCAGAGTGTACATCATAGGCTTAAAATGTTTATTTAGTGTTGGGGATTAAGCCATTGGACATGCATATGTGCCATTACTTGTGTTTGGAGGTCAGAGGATTCCACAACTACCATATGAGTCCTAGGGATCTAACTCAGGTCACTAACTAGCCTTTGTATACTGAGCCATCTCTCAGCTCCTATAGTATCTTAGAGTATTTTAAATACAAGTTGGCACAGATTGAATTGAGGCTGCCTTGGTAGGAGTTATGCCATTTATGGATGAATTCATAAATAAGATCGGCTACCAGTCACTCAAGTGTGTTTTTTTAAAAGATATTTATTTACTTATCATATATACGGTGTTCTGTTTGCATGTATGACCTCAGTCCAGAAGAAGGCATTAGATCTCATTACAAATGGCTGCGATTGATCATGTGGTTACTGGGAATTGAACTCAGGACCTCTGGAAGAGCAGCCAGTGCTTGCAACCTCTGAGCTATCTCTCTAGCCTTGCACTCAAGTGCATTTTTATATATCTATATTTCTTTATAATTATGGTGTATATTAACATGAAAGTAGTTTTGGAATATTTAGATATTACATTGTGATCTTTTTTTTGTACATAAGATTTACTCATACTATCTTATTTTTAAAGGTACTAGTACTTGGAAACAAGAGAGATCTTCCAAATGCCTTGGATGAGAAACAGCTAATTGAAAAAATGTAGGTCCTAAGAAGAGTAATGTTGAGAAGCTTGTTGGTAAATTATAGACTGTTCTCTGTTTTTTAGGCATAATTTCATTATTTACTAATGTAACTTGTTCTTAGATGGATAAACTGGGGCAACCATAGAAGTAAACCTCTAAATTTTATTAGTGGGAAAACATTCTTTTGCATAGTAATGAAAATAAGTGAAACTGAGTAAAGAGTAAGCAAGACAGCTGCCATCTTTTTTTTTTTTTTTTTTTAAACCAATTCTGTTTCTTACAGGAACCTGTCTGCTATTCAAGATAGAGAAATTTGCTGCTATTCAATTTCTTGCAAAGAAAAGGATAATATAGGTAAGAAATGGCTGCTGCTTTTGGAAGAAATGAGTACCTTGGGGAAGGAAGCCATGTTTTTTCCTGTGCTGTAGTGAGTGGGGAGGTTTTGTTTTATTTGTTTTTAATATGTGCTTCTTATTTTTAACTGAGGGATTGTTACCTTAGGAGGCATGTGGCAATATATGGAGACATTTTCTTTTGGTTCTCATAACTGGAAGAGGGTAGAGATGCAGATGTTTCTAAACATCTCTCAATCTCTACCCCAAGAATTAGCACAGAATATCAGTAGAAGCAGGGCTGCTCTTCACTGTAGTTTTTAGGATGTTGTACTGTTCTTTAAATCCATTACTCCTTCAAATATTCTTTAATATTTCTTAAGTTAGAAACGGGAAACTTTGGGAGGAAAAATAATCTTTTATTACTGTCAAGAACTAGCCAGATAATTTTCTAAAGGAACAACAACAAAAATAAATGGCCAGCTTGGTATGATGGTAGATACCTGTTGTCCTGGCATTTGGGAAGCTGAGGTGGGAGGATTGTTGAGTTTGAGGTCTGCCTGTGCTACTTAGTGAGTGCTAGGGCAACTGTGGCTTGGTAGCAGGACCCTGTCTCAAAAAGAGAGGTGAGCTGGGGAGATGAGAGAAAGTCAGCCTTGGGTTCATTTCATTTATTCAAGGCTACAAGGGATTCAGCAGTGGTGGTGAGAATTGATAAGTGTTTGAGGCTGATGATGGCTTGCTAGGGTGTACTAATTAGTAATTTCAATGTTTTATGTGCAGTATTATGGAGGCTAAGGAAACCACTGTCTTTGCTAGATTCAAACTGAGCATTAATGAATTGCTTCAAAAAGTTTTGAGTGTACATGGTTTCATGTGTTTTACTGTCCTATTAATATAGCAGGGCAAGTGCTCTTGATCTGAGAAAAGTGTCCTGGAACCACGTGAGGAGTGTTTATTTCTTGTGACCCTGTGATTCTTTGTTCTGCATTTTTGTCTAGTCCTGAGAACTCAATTTTCTTTGGGATCTTAGCTTCTGTCCAGTGGCTATAGAGGATAGGCTTATTCTTTTAAGTTTCTTAAGTATGAAAATGTGGTCATTTTCCTTTCCCCATCTGATTTCATAGTGGTGTAATAAAAGATGTAGAAAACTTGTTTCTTGAGTTACTAAATTTTTGTTTTCCCAACTGTGAATAGTCACTTTTGTTCAGCTTCTGGCCCTAGTCTGTACTTGATAGGTGTGGTCTATAGTTTCTCTAATGTGTTTTAGTTGGGAAAATGGAAGACTGAAATTAATCTTTCAAGATTGGAAGATAGAGTGCGATATGTGAGAACATAGCTTCCAGGTAGTTAGTATTTTCAAGAACTCACTCAGGACAGTAATTCGGTGCTCCGACTTAGCTGGCTTCTCAGTCTGTGGACTTTTTCTGGCTCTCCTGAGCTACCGTAGTTTTGACTGTATCTTGATTCCTTGTTAGTTGCGTCTCTTCTTCAGATCTTTAAAACTAATGTCAGATCTTCTAGAACCTGAGATGTGAGCCACTTGGGAAGCAAGCCAGCTGTGCCTGGGCATGGTGGCACATGCCGTTAGTCATGGTCTTTAGGAGGCAGAGACAGGTAAGCCTCTGAATTTGAGGCTAGCCAGGCCGCCAGGAGATTCTTTCTTACCTACTCCCTGTAGTCACACGTGTAGTCCTCCCAGTCATGCATCTTCTCTATATACTGTGCTTATCGCTTCACATTCTCATTCCTTTGTATCCTGTCCAGTTGAGCGGAGTCAGTCTGCACATTGCAGCCCTCCAAGTTGTTCTGTTGTTCTTACTGGTTTGCTAAAATAAGCTAATACCTTCCTGTTTCAAACTCTTCAATAATTTCCTGTTGACTTGAGAATAAAGTCCTAATTGTTAGCACCACTTTATTTATTGAGCTCAACTCAAACACTTGTGTTCCCGAGGAGAATGGTTTTTAAAATAAATTTTAGTGCAAAAGAAATGGGTTTCATGACAGTTGCATGCACAGAAGTCATACTTTGCTCATAGTCTTTCCTCTCTTTTGTTCCCTCCCTGTCCTTCTGGCTCACTTCTTCCCCAGGTAGTTAGTTCTCCTATCTCTGCTTCTATGCTTTTTTTGTTTTGTTTTGATGCATGTGTATTTGTGTGAGATATGTGCAGATGCTGTAATTTTGTTCTTTATGATTGTCGTGGTTGGGCTGGCACATTCTGTGAGGCACAGGAAAGGTTCACCTCATGAAATCACAACAAGGTTATAAAGCCATAGTCTAGGCGTCTAGTTACGCAGTGAGTGGGAACCCTGTTTTCCTTTTGCCTTAGCCACGTCTTAGCAGCCCCCATGTTCTGCAGTGGGGCATGCCTCCTGAGACTATGCTTTTGTGCTTTCCCTTGTCTGCTGGTCTCTGTGTGACATTAAAGCCCAAATGATTAACTTTATCTTTATTAGTATAGTTTTTTTGAGGTCAGAGAGTCCTTTCATATCTTTGCCCTCCTGGCAGTTTGTGTTTAGCTCCTGATCTGACAGACAGGTACCAAGTTCAAGTTCAGTATCTAATAGTTTCTCACATTGTCATCTTGAAGCTCTGGTGGTGGAGTTCAGATGCAGAGGAGACATAGCACCTTGGACAGTTTAAGAATTGTCTGTGTGTTTAATTTTGTAATGCTGATTTCTTAACTCTCACTTTCCCTGCCTTTAGATATCACACTTCAGTGGCTTATTCAACACTCAAAATCCCGAAGAAGCTGAGACATCTTCTGACGTCTTCCAGTCCTTCTTGGCTATAATCCTAGAACTACTGTCCGTTCCTCTGAAGTACTTCCCAGAACATGGTCCTTCCTAAACCCAAGAAATTGCCTTTCTCAGAGTTTATTTCTCATGTGCACTGCTGAAGATGTATATTCCTATCCTTCATAACAAATCAGCTGGAGTTGTCATGATAAAGTCAACACACTAAAAGGCTTCACACACTTGTCTAGTGTGTAGAGGCCTCTTTCCTTTCTTTTTTAAAAAACACCCACATTTTTGACCATCTTAAATTAAGAAAATTGCATATTATCATTCTGGTCTTTCTGGGCCAGATTTTTGTATTGGTTTTCAGTAAATGTCTACCTATTTCATTACAGAGTCCAGTAGCTTATACTGGTACTGACTTGATGCAGCATGGATTTCCTAGAGCCACACAGTATTTAGAAAAACTTCAAGCCTGACTCATGTGGGATATGAACATAAAATGTTTGTCCCGTCTCACATATGCATGTGAAATGTAGACTTATACTGTAGGAATAATTGGTCTGCTAAGAGTTAGCAGAGGCACCAGGTCAGCACAGTTGGGTTGCCTACACTGGAGACTTCCTACCTGATAAATTTTAAACGTTCTGCTTTCTGAGACTCCTTTGTCTCCACATAGCATTTGGGGAGATGGGAAGAGTTACAGCATGCTCTTTTGTATCTGTCCAGATCATTAGTTTTCTTCCCCCTTTTAACAGTTTTTTAAAGGGATGGGAATTGAAGATTTTTTTTTTTCAAAAGTTTTCATGAATTTAGAGCATTCCAGCTAGTGTAATAAAACCCATTAAGAATGTCTGACCTTGTGTGAATACGTCTGTTCTTTGTCTCTAGTCACCCACCCTGTGCTGCTGCATGACACCCTTAACTCTGACTTTTTATATCCAGTCATGAAGTTGACTTTCAGCACAAAGGATACTTATAAACAGATTCGTAATTTTTTTTCTTACCAATGTAAGGTTTGGCACTCTTTTCACTAGTGCCCCTAGACTTCTTGATTGTGACAACTCTAGACCTGCCTGCTTAATCTAATCATGCGCAATGTCTACAGGTTGTTTAAGATCGGCCATGGAGAGAACTGAGGAACCAATGCTGTGTATTGTTCGCTTCTATGATACAGAGCTGTACAAAAACTTACAATGATCATATTTTGTAGCTTAGTGATGATCTCTACGTACATAAAGGGACATATTAATACTGGTTCATCTGTAAAATGTTACTCATGCCGATGTAGTGATAAAAGCCTGTGCTTACACCTGCTTATGTGTTGCCTCACACTGTGTGTGATTTGTCTCTTCTGTTAAGCAGCTCTTATGTCGACAGTACATATTCAGATGTGTTGAGCACTCCGAATGTAGTCAGCAGTAAGTTCTTTTAATGAATACCGTTTTCATTTATAGACTGCCATGGCCTTAAAATATTCTGTACTAATAACTGCACTGTGTTGCACAAACACTACTTGTTTTCTCCATTCACATTTTTAATGAGAATCTGAGCTTTATAGTTCTCTTTTCTTCATGGAAGCATGTTGCACTCTTCCCAGAGGATGGGATGGGTGGTTTGAATGAAGGGTTATTTAAACTTGTTCATGTAGCCTAACACGTGTAATGGTCACTGTGAACCATTTCAAAGAATGGAGACTTGCTTGTGCCTAAAAAGAGGGACTGGAACCAGAATGTGTAACTAAGTGGGGACTGCATAGGTTTTTGTTAATTTACTTATAGCTAAACCTTAATGTGTTTGTGTGTCTTTTTTTTTTATTGCTTTCCAGTATTTCAGGACATCTAAAAGCTACTACCAACATTTTCCTGTGCATAACCTCTGCATGTGAAAACCTAACAGTTACTGCAATTTGTAAATACGGAAATTTTTTTATTTAGGTGTGGATGCATTTTTTTTTTTTTTTTTGGGTCTGTTTACTGCTCTTCTCAGCTTTATTCAATAAACTTGCATTTTGAGGGTTGCATTGACAATTGTACCTTAAAATGTCATTGTGATGAAAGGTGCAGATCTTTGGAATGGAGTAGAAAGATAATTACTTGAAAAGGGCTCCACAGACCATGTTCGGGAAAGAAGTTGTTACCTCAGCTGCAAAGGATTAGGTTGGTGGGATGGACCAGGAATAAACTTTTACAACGTCTATGGAGTTCATACTGTGATCTCCTCCTTTCTCTCTTGCTGGGAGAGGAGTCTTTTACTAATAAAACTGCAGTGGCACTTGGTGTGTGGGCACTGAGGATTGAGCCTCACCAATGCTAGGCAGGCACTCTGATGCCACCGAGCCAATACCCTCTCTCCTCTATCCCCAAATTTAGGACTTTTAGATGGTAGGAGCTAGTAAAGAATTTTATTATCCAGTTAATTTAAAAATTTTACACTGCCAGGAATTGAACGTAAGCTCCACCACTGAGCTATATCCCAGCTTTTAAAAGAAAAAGGAAAAAAAAAAAAAAAAAAAAAAAAATCAAAGCTCTAATTAAGAAACTGAAATTCCAAGACATGCCTACTTCAGAGTGCAAACATCTTCATGCTCAGACATGCTGGGATGGCTTAACAGAGGTGAAGCCTACTAAACTAAAGCTGGGATCCCTAGCAATAGATGTTAGGCTTGTGTAGTAGCTTATCTAATCCCAGGACTGGAGAGGAGGGGAGCATGTGTTCTACTGGACTAGTTGAATCAGTCAGATTTGGGTCTATCTGAGGGATACTGCCTCAACGTACAAGGTAGAAGAAAATGGTTGAGGAAGATACCCAACATAAACCTCTGGGCTCCAAGTGCACACACCTACATACACACATGGGAATATATGTAGACAGGCATGCATACTATACATACACATGAAGAAATAAAAATGTTGAGTTTTCTACAAAGCCCCATTTTTAGTGTAAGGTATTTGGCCCATTTTGCTAAAATCTGAACTGTAAAATACATCTATATTTCTTAATGAGAGCCATTGAGAAATGGTTTCAGTAAGTTAGGCTGACATTCTCTGTACATATTGTCATTCTGTATTAGCGACTGGGTGTGTGTGATTTGACATTTCTATCACAAGATTTTATTATTTTGTGATATTGGTAGCAACAAGTGATGTAAGTCTGGATGGTGCTGGGGAAGACATTCAGAGTACACATTTAGCTTAGTTTAAAAAAAAAAAAAAATGGAGAGTTTATTTAGTGCTTTTATTTTCAGACAAGCTTTTGCTTTGTTGCCCAGGCTGGATTCAAACTCATGATCCTCCTTCCTCACCTCTTGAGTGCTGGAATGATGGGTATATGGCTAAAATAATAGATTTCTAAAATTAGCCTTTTTGACTATGACACTTAAATTGGGTGTTTTGGACCATGACAGCTTTAGTGTACTTTTTTTGTTGGCTGAGAAAGTGATTTCCTTTTGCATCTACAGTTGAATCAGGTTGATTAGGTCATTACAGCTTCTCATAAAGTCTGGAGGGTGGGAGCTTAAATGAGGTATAGAAGGTACCAATCTATAACATCCTGTTGGTCAAGTGCTTTACTTTGAGAATGTGCCATTGTGAGGCAACCGCCATGTTTGTTGTTTAGAATATTTACATTTTCTTGAAAACTAAATGTCCTTCCTCTAACAGTGTGCACTTCAGTCAGGAGACTTGGAAAGAAAAATAGTCATGCAAATAGTAGCCTTATAGACTTCCTCTACGTTTGCTGTTCTACAAGTTGGCAGCCCACAGCAGGTGTTTCCTGTTAGTAAATAACCTCTGCAGATTTCTGTTTAAAATTGAGCTATTAATAAAAGTGGTGTCCTTGTCATTGATGCTTCTTCTGTGTTCTTAGGGAAACAGGTCACTGACATTCTAGATAGTGTGCAATGAGTAGACTCTTAATCTCAGCAATATTGGAAATCATCCATTACACCATTTCATTAACAAGGTCTCACTCAAAACAGAGTTACCACACTTAGGTGGTGTAGATCTTCCAGCGGGAATCACAAGGGAAGAAAGATACCCCAGCCTCATTTTCCTGGGTCTTACAGGACATGGTGTCAGTAAAAGGGTTGTGGGGAAGAGGTCTCAGCTTAACATGCTGATGTAGCCTGATTATGGACAATCCCCCCCCCTTTTTTTTTTTTTTTGTTATTAACTGGTGGTATCCCTGGTGAGTTCCTGAAGCCCCAACTTTCCAGTCTCCCAAATGAGGAGAATTTCTAACTCAGCTTCTTAGAGTGATTCTGGCAGATTAGAGATCTGGACAGTAGTTAGACCAGACATATAGAATGCCTACTTGCCTAGTGACTGTGTTAGTGTTTTATGTGCCATCTACTTGAAAATACAGAAATTTTTACACACCCCCAGCTTAGTTTTAATACAGTGAAGGAAGGGCTAGTCATCACAGTTTACAGAATGATGCAACAACTTAGATTTGAAGGAAGTGCTGTTAACAAAGGCTTTACATTTGGAAAGGCATTTATAGTTGCAGGTGCTGTGTCAATTAAGGAAACTAAGAATTTTGGACTAAACTGCTTAGAATCAATATGTAACACTTCATAGCTGCTGTAGGCTCAGCAAGAATTTCAATTTTGAGAAACCTGAAACATTTAGAAAATACTTGCTTTCAAACTAAGGGAGGGATAAGGAGCCAAGCAGACCTCTGCCTTTGCTGTTGACATGGGGCAGAGAATGCCAGTCATTATTCTCCCTCCCTCCCCTTCTTTTGTCATCTGCAACAGTGAGTGGTCTGCCCTCAGTTGTTACACAATATGTCCCACACAATGGGTTATTTTGTTTCTGTGTTTTGTAACTTCATTTCTATTCACATTCTGCAAGGAGAAATTCAAATTACTTTTGGCTGCTATACCATTTGCCACACTTCACAGAAAGACTGAACATTAAGGTGATTTCTCTTTGTGACAGTTAAGTAATGAGCTGGGGGTCTGTTACATAATGTCAGTTCTTCATGGGTAGGTGCTACACTTGGGATAGCTAAAACTGGCTGAGAGAAAGTTCACTACTGTTATTTTTGGACAATGGACACACTGATGCTTAGGCTAGTCTTAGCCTTTTGGTCTCAAAGGCACCCTCTTGCTGTAGCATCCTCAGTAGGGCTTTGGGCATGTGTTGCTGTGCCCAGTTATCCCTCCCCCCACCCCATTACATATTTTTAAATAACTTTTGTTTTTTGAGATGGGGGACTCACCATGTATTTCTGACTTCCTGATATAAAGACCAGGCTGCCTGGAACTCAACAGGATTCTCCCTGCCTCTGACTCAAGTGCTGAGATTAAAAGTGTGAGCCTCCACAGCTGGTTGAGTAAGTTCATTTTTAATATAAAGTCCCTTGTTTACACAAGACATTATCTTGGTCCCACCCACATAAAGGTAACCTCTGGCTGGTGGGTGACATACCAGTTTCCTATTCATACAAAATGCAGTCTCATTAACAGGGCCAGCTGTGAGTATAGCACTGTTGTGTGAGTGTATGAGAGTTTGTGGTAAGTCTGTTCTTACCTTAAAATGGGAGGTTTTTTTTGCAGCTGAGGAAACAGGTGCGGAAACTAACTTATTAGCAAGGCACTCAGAGAGTCTGACTGGGTTCTCGCTGTCTGTCTCTTCGTGGTAGCTGCACAGTAAAGTCGTTTTTAAAATGAAAGTAATGACTTCTTATACCAGTCCCATGATGCTCTTGTGAGAATGTATTTGGAAAAATCTATCACCAACTTTTTCCTATTTTTTTTTTAAGCTGGGTATGGTGGTTCAAACCTATAATTGGAAGCTGAGGCAGAAGGATCACAAGTTGGAGGCAAAGAGATTAGAGAGTCAGATCCTGTCTCAGAACTTTTTAAGGATGTATTTTCTGATTAGATGCAGATGTCTGTTTCATCAGCTACATTCAATCTGAAAAGTCTTAAAGGGACAGTCGCAGATGCTCCACTTTCAGGGATTTCCACAAAGAGTGGAATTACATGATAGTGTCCCTAAAACCTGTCTTCTGGCACCTGTCGTCACTTGTGCCAGGAAAAGCATTTTTTTATACATTGACTGGTTTTCTCTAGCTTTTAGATTTTTTTTTTTTTTTTTGAGAACAGGCGCTGTCATCAGTGGCTGACAGCTGACTAGAGTGCAAGATAAATTTAAGCTAAAATTTGCACAAAAGTAGGAAACAAAGGGAATCTTAATATTAATTCACATTCAGTTTATGTCAGCTTGGGGAGGTAGAATCTAATAGTTCATAGTCAAGAGCTGGAGTTGGACTTCTGGAACTCTCCCCAGACGCCTTCTCCCTCCCTTCTTCCTTCCCTCCCTCTTTCCCCTTTTCTGCCCCCTCCCCCTTTATATACTGCTTGGGCCTTTGTCTCTCCCAAAATAAACTCTTAACAACCCCAAGAACTTTACTGTTCGCTGACTGCGCTATTGTACTCTGTGGCACTTCAGGAACTCCTTTGACCTTAAAAGTGGAATGAGACTGTCACAGGCGATTTACCTAAATACTCCCCATCAGAGCCTCGATGATTGGTGACATGGACCACGTTTGTAAACTTAGGGAAGGCAAAACTGATAGGTGCTCCCAAGTGTTGAGTCTTTACACGAAAGCCACAGTCCTTAAGAGATACAATATGTAACCTGCTTAATTATAGGCTTTAGGGCTTAAAGAGATTATACCCCAAATCTGCCCTACATTTCCTAGGTCGCTGCTGCCTTATACTGTAGAGATGATGGGAGGCTCAGGTAAGACTGTTATTTAAAATAGTGTTAATGAAAATGGTTTGGTGTTAGCCCCACCTCCAGCCCTATTGGGATAGGACGTGATCTCGGAGTATTGTAGACTGTCAAGCATGATTCTTCAAATTAAGGCGTTCCAATAAAAAAACCGATGGAGTATTGTCTGAGACGTTGGGCGTCCCACTCCCACCCAAGCTAAAAAAAAAATCTTTCCTGGATATACGCAAATCGCCTTTGCCTAACGGCCCAGGCCCTTAACTTTCTCACCCCTTCTACCCAAGACATGGAGAGGCTTTCTCCCACACAACCTGAGACCAATAAACATTCTAGGGGCATCATTTACCCGATCTAGGGCGGGTCAGGGGCCGCGTCCGTGACCTTGCTCGGAGTTCCCGTGCTGCGCTCCTATTGGTTGGAAGTTCTCTCTCCCAAACCTAATGAGACCTAGGCTCGCCACGCCAGCCCGACCTGACTCGGACCCGCCCAGGGGGCGTGGTCCTCTGGCGGGGCGGAGCCTTGAGGTCCGGGCGGCCTATAGAGCGGGAGGGAGTCCCCGGCCGCGCCCCTCGAGGCCGACCCGGGTGAGGCCAATCCCGGGCGGCCGGCGGTCGAACGTGGGGCCTGGCGGGCCTGGCCGGGCCGGGCCGCGGGGCGGGGGACAATGGGCCAGTTCCTGGTGCGTCACGAGGGAGTTCCTTAAAGGGGAAGTGAGCGGGTTCCCGGGCGGACGCGCGGGGCGGCGGTCGGCTGGGGACGCGCCCGGCCCTTCAAAATAATGCCCGCGGCAGCCGCGCGACCATGCAATGGCGAGCGCTCGTCCTGGGGCTGGTGCTGCTGCGCCTTGGCCTCCACGCGGTGCTCTGGCTGGTCTTCGGGCTGGGGCCCAGCATGGGCTTCTACCAGCGCTTTCCGCTCAGCTTCGGATTCCAGCGCTTGAGGGGCCTCGACGGCTCGGGGCCGGTGGGTCCTCCCGGAGGCCCGGCCTGGCTGCATCGACCAAGACGCGGGACGGAGGGGCCGCTCGAGACCCCGTCGGAGCCGGGGCCGGAGCCCGGGCCCGGCATGTGCGGCCCGGCGCACTGGGGCTACGCTCTGGGCGGCCGTGGCTGCGGCCCGGACGAGTACGAGCGGCGCTACAGCAGCGCCTTCCCGCCGCAGCTGCGTGCCCAGATGCGCGACCTGGCGCGGGGCATGTTCGTCTTCGGCTACGACAACTACATGGCTCACGCCTTTCCGCAGGACGAGCTCAACCCCATCTACTGCCGCGGCCGGGGGCCGGACCGCGGGGACCCGTGAGTAGCCCACGCCCGCCGGACGCCCCGCGCGCCGCCCTTCCGCCCCTCCGGGTCCTCTAGGGGATACCAGGGTCTTTAAGGTCCGCCACAGTCCGAGGTCCCCGCTCCCCGCCGCCCGGTGGACTGCCATCCTCTTGGTTCTCCCGGACCCTCCAAACTTCAGGACAGCAGACCCTGTCACTCTCCGTGGTACATGGGGAAACTGAGGGTCAGAGTCCGCAAGGGACAGTCCCAGTGGCAAAGCATGCCGTTGCTCCAGGTGGACCTATTATCTAAGTGCCAGCTATAGGCTTCTTTTGAAAGAAAGCGCAGCTTCAGAACCAACCCAACCCCACTCCAGATCAGAACGCCACACCCTAGGCTTTTTAATACAAAGAAGGAACCGGATCCGAAAAGGGAGCCATCCAGTAAATTGGGCACAGGGGATGGCGTGGGGAGGTTAGCGTTCCTCATTCTCAGGGGCTGCTGCCTAGGCTGAGGAGAGCTAGTTGGGAGGGATGGGTGTTGCCTGGCCCAGACTTGCTATCTGGATCCTCGAAGGATGATTTCTTAGGCACTGAATTGGCGACTGACACTGTCATTGCTTGGTCCCATCGTAAACACTAGTGGGGTGAGGGTGCTGTCAGGAGGTCAAGCTGTCCTCTCAGCCTGTTAGCCACGTATGGGAAGGTGGAGTTCCAGGGTTACTCGAGTGACTTCAAAGTCCAAGAGAACAGAGCACCCAGCCAAGGTTCCCCTCCTTGAAGGGTGCGCACTGTCACTGACCCAGTCAGGCCTGTCGGTGACGGTGGTGTTTCTGGTGGTGTTTCTCTCTCCTTAGGTGGGAGTGGAGTTGGGTTGTTTATTGTCCTGACACTATATATGAGCACCCTTGGACACCTGGTGTATTTTCCTTCTGCTGTTGGGAAGCAGAGGTTTTGAAAGAAAAGCTAAGGGCTGATGAGATGGCTCAGCCAGGAAAGGCTCTTGGCGCTAAACTCAGGAATTGAGTTTGATCTTCCAGGACCCACATGGGGGAAAGAGAAAGAGAACTGAGAAGACTCCCAGAGTTGTCACCTGACCTCTACACACCTCTGTGACACTCATGCACACCAGTCCCCAAAACACTAAAAGAAAAACATTTTAAAAGGGAAGCTAATACTCTAAAAGGACATTAAGAGTTGGTTAAGTGTAAATTTGTGTCTTAATTTGCAGCCTGATGAGCTAATAGCAAGGGAGCATCCCACACAGAGGCACTGGGCCTTGCATTGTTCCATGGGTCGGATGAACTATTTGTCTTTCTTAACCATATCAGCTTTTGAACATACAACCCTCTCCCTCTCTTTACAGCTTTCTCTCAGGCATTCAGGGAATCAAACATGTGACTCTATGCAGCTCTTTACAGCTGCTACATTTCAGCTCTTCTTTCTTTCGTATGGATATCTTCCCTTAGTTTCTTTGGGGGGAAAAAACTAATTTTTTTTTTTTTAAAGTAACACCACTCCTTTTTTGGATTATAGGGAGTTGTCTCACTCATAAGAGTCACAAGGGACACTTCATATCTATGGTTATGTTTTCTTCATTTCTGCCTCCCCCCCCCATCTTGTGAGAATAAATTTCTTTAAATATGGGAGGGGAAACTGAAAAATCTCGATGGTTATTTTCAGTAGCTCTTTTCTTGTCCATATGGTGACACATTTTATTTATTTGTTTATTTATTTTTACATAGTTGACCTTAAGTGTGTTCCTATTTTGGATTTTTTTTTAAATTTTACAAAGACAGTATTTTTATTTGTGTACCAATAAGGTTGACAATTGACACCCAGACACAAAAAAGCTTGGAAAAGCTGTAGATGACCACTGTTGAGTTGAGCCTCCCTGGAGTATTTTACAGAGCATTTCTGATACAGTCCCAACTGAATCTTAAGCATGACCTGTGTTCAGGTGACAGGATTATGACTCCCTTCCGTTAGGCCTCATTGCCTTTCTTTATTCTCCTTTTTTCCTGGAGTAGGAGCTACTGTCCTGATGACGTGGCTGTGGCACTTCCTCAGAAAGTGACTCTTAACACGCTTCTTTTTCCCCTTTCTTTGTTCCTCTTTCTTCTGTCTGCTGGTCTGTCTGTCTGTCTTTCATACTGAGGATGGTTCCTAGCTTAAGGAGAATGTTACAATAAAAGCTCTGGCTCCAGCTGCCCTCATAAACTGGGCTTGGTCACTCATCCCAAGGTGCCAATTAAGGAGACAATTACTGGCACAGAGCACCAACAAGGGAATTAACATCCTGGGAAGGGGGACAAATAAAGGGGTCCAGCAGTCCCCGAGTTGGGCTTCAGGACCTTGCCATGAGCCTTCGGTTCAAGTGGAGGAAGGGTTGGGAAGGAGGGTAGGAGAGAGTAGTAGTCTGGATCAAGCTGTGGTTTTGGCCACTACAGTATCTTCTCAGATCCTGCACAGTGATACTGTGTATTTAGTTGTCTTCGCCTAAATCTAGTTTTTGTAAGGTGATCTGCTTAGGGTATAGACTCCCCATCATAGATGAGTGGTCTCATTCTGTGCAATCTAAGGTAAACATGGGTTTAAGACAGTGCTTGTAGTCTTACAAGAATGAGAGAGGGTGTGAATCACTGGTTTTACACAGGCACTCCTGGAATGATTAACATGGCTGTGTATAGAGAAGCAGGGTGACCCAAAGGAAAGGAAAAGGGAAGATGGGAATGGCAGGCCTTCTCCCTCCTTTTAGTTTCTTTGTGAGCTCAAGTGAGAAGATGGAGCTTTTCAGCAGCAGCAGCTTCTAAGTGCCTGTTGTTACACTAGGGCCTTGTGCATGCTAAGCAAGTAGTCTACCATTGAGCCAGACACCCAGCTTCTTCTTCGCTTTCTATTTTGAGACAGTCTTTTCAAGTTGAACAGGCTGGCTTTCAACTTGTCCCACAGCTCAAACAGGCCTTGAATTTGTGATCTTGATTCAGACTCACGAGTAGCTGGAGTCATAGGCCCTGTGTTACTGGGCCTCCTTTAACGACTTTATTTTCTTTATTATATATATATATATATATATATATATCCATAAGAACTTTCTGGAGCGTTTAGGGGTGGGGGTGGGGACTTGTCAGCAAAGTGAGGTGTGGTGGTTGGTTGAAGTTGTTGGTCCCAGTGATGTCTTGGGGTGCATCGGCCTTTTTAGAGGTCTATGGTAAGTGTAGTGGTTTGCTTTGGTTATACAGGGGCAGTTTCTGTAACTTGAAGTCAGGTCTCTGGGATGATGGCATTAGGAATATTGGGGAATGGTAGCATTTGTCTTCCGGTTGGCAAGCCTTTGTGCTTCTGACATGGTAAGAGAGCATTGGGACTTTGTGGCCTTGAGCAGACCTCACACTGGCTCATTCAAGGAGCAGAAAGCTTAGCTTTGTTTTTTGTTTTGTTTATTTAGCTCACTCTCTGTAATGTAGTTCCTCTTGTGCTTTGATATTTTTAGGAGAGTTTCAAGCCTGTGCTTTGTCATTCTGGTTCTGAACAAGTAGGAAATGTTACATTTCCCAAATAAGGTGTAATAAAGAGGCTTAAACATACTCTTTTCTAATACCTGAGAATTGAACCCAGGGCTCACACATTCCAGATAAGTGATCTCCTAGTAAGCTACATTCCTGGCCCTGTAAAAACTAGACTTTAATTGTCAAAAGTGCCTGCTACTCTTACAGAGGACTGAGCCTGTCCTCAGCACTCAAAACTACCTGTAACTCGAGCTCCAGGCGATCTTCTGGTCTCCATGTGGACTCAAGCATGTACACACATACAAAGTAAAATTTTATTTTGAGGTCTGGGGACCTATTCTAGTGGTATGGTACTTGCCTAGCATGTAGGAGGGCCTTAATTCAATATTAGTGCTGCAAAAAATAAAAGTAACAAAAAAATTGCTGTGAGACAGAGTCTACCATGCTGTACTCAAACTTAGGATTCTACTGCCTCGGCCTGGAGTTCTTACAAAGTGTGCCTTTACTGTGCCCAGAAAAAGATCTTAAAAAGACTTCAAAATTCAAGTAGGTTCATTATCATTATCTAATATTAATTTCAAAAGAATGAAATTGACATTAGAATACTATCTAAAACAGTGAAAAAACAGAATGTGGATGCTGTCTCTCTCTCTCTTTTTTTTTTTTTTTTTTTTTGGAGACAAGGTCACGTGTAAAACAGACTGACCTTCAGCTCAGCTGAATAGGTTGGCAGAGGATGACCTAGGCTCCTGACCCATCTGCCACAGTACCTGGCTGTGTCATTTCTCTTTAGTCACATCCTCTTGATGCTTATCTTGATAGACATGGGCCCTGTGTTACCATGAAGTAAACAAATCTTGAACCCTGTGAAAACAGCCACTCTCTGTCCAGCTCCTGATAGCTGAGTAAATTTAGATATTTCTGTAGTCCTGTGCATGGCAACTATAAACTTGGGGTTTAGGCCTGTGACTATGTTTGATTCCACCCTGTCCCTCAAACCACATTCTTAAAACAAAAAGATTCCAAATGAACAGATCAAATATCAGTTCCTCACCTAGTTTGTTCCTAGACACTCTAGCTTAAGATGGCAAGATGGCCTCTTGGGCTAAGGAGATGGCTCAGTGGTCAAGAGTGTTGGTGTAAGTATGGAGACTTGAGTTTGAATCCCTAGCAAGCATGTAAAAAGCTGGGTGTAGTCACTCCTTTGTCTGTAACCCAAACACTGTGGGGTGGAGACAAGAGGGTTGCTGGGGCCTGCTGACTGCCTGGTGAGTTCCAGGTTCTGTGAGAGACCCTGTCTCAAGGCAATAAGATGGAGAGGGCTGGACACTAGAAATCTTGCTCGGGCTTCTTACCTACCATTCGTAAATTTGTATGCCCTCACACACATGCATATATATGTGTGTTTTGAGCCATCGTTCCCCATTTTAACTGAGGATTGAGTCCTGTCTCCCTTGCTTCTCTCTGGACTACTAAATCCTTGAGTGCTCAGTTACTGTTTGTTGTGTTATCTCTCTACCCACACAGAAAAGATAAGATTTCCAAACAGCTGTTACAGGTTGAGTATATGCAAGCACAGGTGTTTTTTGTTTGTTTGTTTTGTTTTTCAACATGTCTGCTTGATTTTTATTAGCTTCCTAATCAAAAACTTTCTAGCAGAGGCCTTGGTCTTCATCTTTGTTGTCTCCTTTTATTCTGTTACGCCCTCCTCCTCCTTTGCTGTCTTCTTTGCTTTTGTTTGTAGGTTTAAAGGTTCTAAGAACTTCAGAGTGTCAAAGTGTAATGATTGTCATGAACTTTTATGCACATGTGATGAATTAGTGGGGAGTTGAGTTGTGATTGTCAGCAGCTTACACAGGACCACTTGTACTCTTGATTTTTGCCTTGAACTGCAAGACTGGCTTCTTCAAGAGAGGTGAGACAGGTCTACAATAAGCATGTCCACAGAGCAGAGCTGTGTTGTCTGCAGGGTGGGCTGACAGATGGAAATGTCTTGCTGTAGGGCTAGGACCAGTTCTGTGGAATCTTGATTTTTCCTTCATTTTCTACCCTCTCTTCCCTACTTTGGTAATTTGTATTATTAATTTTATGGTTATTATTTTTTTTTTCTTCTGAGATGATCTTGCTGTATACGCATTATTTGGTAGGAAAGAATTAAAACTGTTCTAGGTGAACATTCTAGGTCTGTAAGTAGATTTTCCAAATAGAGTGGAACTATTACAGTTACTTTAAATACATTTAAAAAACAAAACAAAACAACAACAACAACAAAACCCAACTCTGGTAATAGGTACCAATTGTTCCTGACTCTCTTTGGCCAGTTTTACTGAGGATTTATCTTTGTTTTGGGAGGGTAAGGGCTGAGGTTCAAACCCAACATCTCAACATGCAAGACATGCGTTCTGCCAGTAGCTGTGTACCCAGCTCGAACATTGTGTCCTTTTTATGTGTGGACTAAGAGGAAAAGCACAGTAAACATAGAAAGCAGCTCAAAACTACTCGTGCCTGCCATGGCCCTGAGCAGCTCATGAGAGTGCCACTTGCCACAGGTTAGGATGTAATGCCAGGTGATATGGAGTGTTTGCTTGCTCAGCTTTTTCAGTTGGGCTCCTAACTGATATGGCAACCGTTTTTCTGGTGAGTGTTTGGAGCTCACTGTTTCAGAGCAGCATAACCCTGAGGTTAAATATTTAACCACAACTAGGCATTCTTGAGGACACACTTGAACATGAGGATGTCTGCTTTGACCCTCCTCCAACTATAAATAAAAGGCCCAGACAGATATTAGGGTTCAAACTGAAGGTCAGGGAAGCAAAAGGTCAGCCACCAGCTGTCACCTCTAGCTCAGGCTAAAGGGCTGATCCATGTGCATGCTCTTCACCAAGTCTCAAACTGCTGCCTCTCCTCAGTGTGTCTGGAGAATGAATGCCTCATACTGACTATTGAAGACCTGCTTCTATCTTTTATACCTTCTAGTGCTGGGATTAAAGGTATGTGACCTGTTACTCTTTTAGACTGATTCAATCTCATGAATCCCTGAGTGGCCTTGAATTCAGAGAGATCCAGATACCTCTTAATCCTGAGTCCTAGGATTAAAGATGTTTGCCACCACATCCTAGTTTTTGGCTGCTAGGATTAAAGGTGTGTGCTTGGCTTCTATGGCTTGTGGCTGACTTTGCTTTCTGAATCTTCAGTCAGGCTTTAATAAATAATATATTACCACATCCATCCCTTGGGAAATCCTGGGTCCTTAGCACTGCCTTTAAGAGACCTGTTTGAAGCCACAGCTCTCACCCTGAGAGCACCTTTTCCATCATGTACATTTCTTTAGAGAATCAACTAGCAGTTTTCCTGAGATGCTGTTGGTGCTTGGTTCCTGTGTAATCCCCTCTGGGAACTTTTTTGTTTGTTTGTTTTCTGTAGATTGTTTGTCCTCTGTTAAGTGCCCAACACACACAAAATAGAGCTTTGGAAGTTTCAGATAAGGCCAGATGTAGAAGCTGTTTGTACTTGCTTCTTCATGTAAGTCCCATTTCATTCTGAATGAAGCTCAAAAGGCGTGTGTGTGTGTGTGTGTGTGTGTGTGTGTGTGTCTGTGGTGTGTATAACTTGTGGGATTCCAAGTTCTCCTACCATGTGAGTCCTGGGGATTGACCTCACATTCTGAGGGTTAGCATCAAGTACATTTCCTACTGAGTCATTTTAGCAGCCCCCATAGGCCTCTTAGAGAGATACAGCAGGCCAAGCCATCTAACTGTGGGATGCTGCCCTTAAAGCTTCTTCCATAGGGAGGAAGTGGTACAGGGGCCCTTTAGGATGATATAAGGGCAGCTGGCATGCAGAGGAGATGGGGGACACCAGATGTGAATGAATCTGTGGCTGGAAATGAAAGTAGGGCTTTTTTACTTTGGTCTATCGTAAATGAGATCATTAAGCAGTTGCCTTATTTCTTTTACTATCATTTTCTTTTTCCTCCCAGACTCTGGAATTATTTCCGGGCTTTGTGGTAATAGGACAAAGGAGTCAGGGAAATCCGTGACCTGGATTTCTTCCGTTACATCAAGTTATTTTCACTGTTTGTCTAGCCTTTCCGGATGTATTAGTTCCGTTGTATGTCATAGTTTGAGCAGTGAGGAAATATCAGGTCATATGACAGGATCCTTCCTTCAGTTCCCAACGACTGTGACATTAAGAGACTTTTGAAGTTAGACAAAGTTAAAGATCCTTGATGGTGATAGTGTGTCTTAGAGGGTGAATGACTGGACCATCTCGACTTCCCCTTGAGCTTCTCTCACTACTGCTCTGTACGCGTGCTCTGCTGTCCTGTAGTTCCTCATCTTGAGACAGGCCTGTACCCTACCGCTACCCCCGCAGTCTGTTTCTGGATCAAGAGCATTGCCAGCAGTTTTAGTTTCTGATGGGTGTTTAGTTTAGTGGTTTTTTGTTTGTTTTGTTTTGTTTTTCTTTCTTTCTTTCACTTTAAAGGTAAAGTACCTTTGTTTAATTTTAATTCTTTCTTTTTCAGTTCAAATCTGAACATCAATGATGTCCTCGGGAATTACTCCCTGACTCTTGTTGATGCCTTGGATACACTTGCAGTAAGTGTTCAGCCTTTTCTTTTTTTAAATTAAGATAATTAAGATAAAGTGCTTGGGGGGTTTATTGCATTTCCTCGTTTCCCCCTGGAATGGGAATACCAGGAAATGCTATACTCAGAAGACTTTGATGAGTGTCATTTATTTTAATGACCTTCATGGGAAGGTAAGGAAAGCCTTGAAGGTAAAGTGAGGGGAAATGTGGCTCTTCTTAAAGGTAGAGAAGTGGTGCATGGCTAGTTTTCAGAAAACCTATTATTGATTTTATTTAATTTTTTGCCATACTATGGTAAAGCGTCCAGAGAATTTTGTCATTATTTAGTTAGATCACAGACTGTGTTGCTTACTTTTCTGTTGCTGGGTTAAAAAATAAAGGGAAAGAGTTTATTTTGTTTAATGGTTTGGGAGGAGAGTCCTCAGTGGTGGAAAAGGCATGTCGTGGCAACAGGGCTGGGAAGCAGGATGTTCACATTTGTATCACTGAGACTCCCAAAGGTTCCACAAGGTCCCCAAACAGCACCAACAGTGGGGACCAAGTGTTCCAATACATGACCTGTGGGGGACACTTCTCATTCAAACTACCACACTGACCTTCTAGCCTCTATGTCCCTCTCCTGGAAAGCAGACTGCGTCTTCCTTCAGCTTTTTCTCTGTGACAGAGCTAATGAATAAAAGGATACTGTGCAATGTCGTCTCAGCCCTGCACCTTTCCCAGTGTAAGCAGCAAGATAAATTTATGGTCCTACTGCCTGTCTCTGTGTTCCTTGATACACAGACCAGACTAAACTAAATTGTGAAGTATGAAACTTATCTATAATTTCTGAAAACCTGAGTTGGAAGCTCTGTTTGTTGTCTGGAACTGAGTGGCCATTTCTCCTTTTATAGTCCCTATCCTACCGCACACACCTATCTCTCCTAATTGCTCTCTGACTTTAGCTTCATGGCTGTGGCCTAAGGCTCTTCCCAGAAGGGTTACTTCTAAAGGGCAATTTTGTTTGAGCTCCCTATTACAAATCCACCATTTTTCTTTTTAGCTTATAATACAGTACATCAGGAGTAAAAACCAGAGGATGCCAGGGTCAGAAGGTACCCCCAAATGCTTCTAGCACCCCCAAAGAGTGTCTGTGTATCGCGGTAAATAAGGATCAGGATAAACAAATAGGCCGAATAGATGTTTATTCAGGGAGAAATAACTTACAACCTAGACAGATGAACACCAGGAAATTCAACCCGATCCTCTCCTGTCCGAGTCATGCCAGAAAGAGAGCGCCTTTTCTGGCCCCCTCCAACCTCCGTCCACAGGTCACTTCCGCCCATGGCTCCACCCCCCAATGGGTGTGGTCAGTGCCAGAGAAGGACTATCTCACTACTGTGCCTGGTGCCTGCCCATGCATGAGGCCCTCTATGTGAACACCCCTGTTATTTATTGCTTCTTGGTTTTGGCTGCTGGTCACTCCATATGTGGTTTGCCAGCTTTCATACTGCCTTTACCCTCTTATCCTTTGGCATCTCCACTGGCCCTGGGGAGCTGGAGGCCTTTCATCATAAATACAAGAACCCCCCTGAAGGCAACAAGCTACACTAGATATGCTGTCAGGCTGTCTATGTGTTTCATGGCCTAGTGCCATAGAGTATGATTTCCAAGGGACATTTCCAGTGTGTTACAATCTCCTTAGTAAAAGTTACTTTTACAAACCCTTCTGTTTTCCTTGTCCAAGACCATCTTTACTATTAGAAAGCTACTGAATCCTATATCAAGTACTATATTTAATAACTTGTCTGGTTCCTTTAAACATTCCTTAGGAATTGACTCATGGTTTTCTAGTAGTAAAGTAGCAGGAATTGGAAAAAGCTGGAGATAACGTCCTGTGCCTTCCTTGTGTAGATTGCAGAAGCAGGACTGGTTCTAATAGGGCTGCTGGGTTTCCTTCTAGGCTCTAGTTGCAGAGCACTTTCAGTCTCCCCAGTGTTTCCTTCTGAAGTGATTGCTGCTGCATTAAGTCATCCACCATCACTTCCCAGAATGTGCCCAGGCAAGTAAGTGCAGCATAATTAGTGCTAATGAGGTGAAGCTACTAGAGGCTGACTCAGTCTGTGGGTGTGGAAGAAGGGTTAGAAGGTGCATGGGCAGCTTGAGAAAGCTCTCTCTCCTGAGCCCTCCAGTTAACCCCCAGTATGTCTTCCTGTCTGTCCCCTTGCTTGCTTACTATTATTACTGTTGTAATTACTATTCCTATTATTATTACTGTTATTTTTTGCTGTACTCTCCCCAACACTTGACAATAGGTAGTACAAAGACTACAGGTTGTTGTTTAAGTGAATGTTTACTTATCCTCTTTTGTCCAGCATGTATCTAAGGGTACACCCCTTGACATAGTATTGTTCTCAAACACACTGAAGAAATTCTGACTATTGAAGATGTATCACACAACAGCATTTTATTTATTTAATTTTTATGAATTTTATGTTGAGGTTTAAAAATTATTTAATGAAAAAATTTTAAAAACAGTGCATATGTGTGTGTGTGTGCATATGCCACTGCATGTGTGTGGAGGTCATAGGACACTTGCAGGATTCGGTTCTCTCCTGTTTGGGTCCCAGGGATCAAACTCAGTGGCCAAACTTTGTAGCAAGTATTCTTTCTACTGAGCCACCTTACTGGCCCTATTTATTTAATTTTGAGACAGCAAGCGACGTGATTATGGGCATTTCTTTATTTCTCTATTTGTTTATTTGTTTGCTGGTGGACTTGGACATTGATCCCAGGACTTTGCTCCCAGTAGGCTTGTGCTCTTCCTTCTGAGCTACATCCCTTGCCATTTGTTTTGTTTTGGTCTTTAAGTCAGAGGCCCCAACTCGTGACCATCATGCCTCAGTCTGCAGAGTGCTGAAATGACAGGTGTGAGCTGCATAGCAGCATTTTCAGATTCTGAGAAGCCCCTCCTCTGTCCAATCAGCCTTTCTCAGGCCTGGGTGATTTCTAATGTGACAACTTACAGGGTGTAACTGGAGTGCCTGAATTTCATCACCTTCCCCAGCTTGATCTGAGATCATATCAACCCTGCAGCTGCACCACATACTGTTCTTGGTGAACATCTGTGAGGAAACAGATCCATTTCTGTGGTTGTTTGCATTGTAGACTATGTGGTCTTGAATGCTCTAAGGTGCTGAGGTTTCAGTTCTCTTTTGTTAGCATTTTCAGCAGATGTTTGCAGATGTGCTGCAAGAGCCCCCAGGGAAAACAGTCCCCTGACCATTGCATGCAACCTGAACAACATTCCATGTTCCTTTAAAAAGGAACTGCAAACAGAAAGCCTGTTTCTGCTCTGTACCCGGGCAGATAATATGATCTGAGAAATACATAACAGACCAGTGCAGTAAGAATAAGAAATAAAGCACACCCCAGAGAACGAATGTCTAAAGAATCATTGATTCTTGATTTATTTATTAATCTATCTAGTTATTGGTATATGTGTTTGTGTCCTTATGAAAAATGGTTATAAAATTTGGTGAAATCAAATCATTTCCATATGGGTTAACCTATAGGATTTTATAACAGTTTTGCCCCTTTTGAAAGGAATAGCATGCTATGGCATTTTATCTACACACCTCAAATAGGAACCTTAATTTTTAAATTGGACATAAAGCTAATAATCCATGTTATGTTCTTTTTTAAGCATTTGTTTATTTCTTTTGTACAAGTGTGTACATGTCTGTGTGAGGGCAAGCATGTGCCACAGTATTTGTTTGAAGGTCAGAGAACAAACTGTGCCTGCTTTATATTTAGGTTCAAAACTCAGGTCATCAATCAGGCTTTCATGGCAAGTGCTTTGACATACTGAACCATTTTCCAAGACTCCACTTAGTTTTAAATGGTCCTTGTTTTCCATATATCTTGGATTTATTTGAGAAGCAGAGATAGAATCATATTTTTCTTACTTAATTTTCTGACAATTTTCTCCCATTTCACAACTTTTTAGAAATTGTTCTGCCTAGCAAATAAAAGTGAGCCCAGGGCTGGGAGAGAAAGGAGTGGCAACAGTGGTTCTGTAAATGTCCGTTCACATACTTGTGCCACTTAGAGACAGGATCCAGGAGTGAGTGGCAGGAGGCAGGCTTGCTGTCTGTCCTGGAGTATAATTGAGAAGTAACTGCCTTCTACCCTTTGTGTGTCCTTTCCTACTGTGGCAAAGCCATAGGTAGTGCAGACTCATAGATGCAGTGGCTGACAGCATGTCAGTTTCATTTCAAGCTGCTGTAATGGTTTGTGTTCTTCTGTTTAAAGATAATGGGAAATTCATCTGAGTTCCAGAAAGCAGTCAAATTAGTGATCAACACTGTTTCATTTGACAAAGATTCCACCGTCCAAGTCTTTGAAGCTACAATAAGGTACAGTAGCAAATGAAATGAATTGAGGGTTTCTTTTGTGTGTGGGGTAAAGGACTTAGTTCCCCTGAGGGTATTTCAGCTGGAGTTCATACGGGCACTATGGACTCCGTACATATTATTCATTTTCATTTTAGGTTAGTGTTTATAAAATCTTGTACTTCTGATGCAAAGAAATACATATTTCTTTGTGGACTGCAAAGGAATACCTATTTAGTGAGTACATAAGAGAGGTATTCATCAAATGTAATTTCGGTGATTCTGTTCATATCCTTTCTCGTTTCCTTGTTTACTGCCTTAGGAATCATCTTTCATGGTTTTAAATGGAGTTTTGCATTCTCCACCCACAAAAATCCACAGCTTGCTCTTTTAATGTCATTTTTTTCTTGTATGGTTCTCATTTGTCACCCACTCTTTGCTAACTAATGGTGGAGTCATGACCTATGACCAGTTTTGTACCTGGATTTCTTTAGTATGAAAAGTTGACTCTTTTCTTGTTTAAATATTTTAAAAATTATATGCTATACAGCTGTCCAGATCTAGATCTGAACCTTGAAACTGAAGCTATGAAATAGAGTATTCTAAAACAAAAAAATAAGTCATTTGAGAAATGTTGCAATCCTTTTTTTTTTTTTTTTTTTTTTTTAAGATCATTGAGATGGGGCATTTATATAGCTACAAGGACATGCATCTAAGAAGGTAGCCTCTATTTTTCAATAGCTCTCATTTTGTCATTTCCTTCTCCATGTTGTCTCCCTAGACACTGGGACAGTTCATCAGTCATCAGGCAGTCAGACACGTAAAGTTACATGTTCTGTTGTACCTTCTTCTGTTTCTCATGTGGCTAATGTTTCTTTACCAAGTAAGATAAGTCAATAGGAATTTATTGATACTAATAGGAAATATGTCCTTTGAGAGCAACCAGTGGCACTTTCCTGACTAGCATAGTTCCTTTTTTTTAATGTCCTAAGATTAAGATGACCAAATTGGATAATGCTTTAGGTGGCATCCTCAGTTGTTTTGAATGGATAATTTCCTATCTTCTTGTCAGCAATGCAGTGAACTGAGAACCAGTCTGTTAGAGCCAGCGGGGACTATAGGAAGCTGCTGAGTCAGGTTCTTCTGCTCCAGGCGGCTTGGAACCTGAAAAGAAGTAGAGACATCTTTTGCCTTTGTAAATTGGATCCTGTGCACTTGTAACAATACACTTGTGATTATTTTTCTTTCTGCTATTAGGGTTTTGGGAAGCCTCCTTTCGGCTCACAGAATAATAACGGACTCCAGACAGCCCTTTGGTGACATGACAATTGAGGATTATGATAATGAATTGTTGTACATGGCCCATGACCTGGCCGTGCGGCTCCTGCCAGCTTTTGAAAACACCAAGACGGGGATCCCCTATCCTCGGGTAAGTGACTGGTTTATTCTGTTATTTCGCTGTTTCTGAGGAATGGTCTCATGCTGTGTAGCTCAGCTGCCCTTGAACTTATGGTTTTCTTGCATTAACCTTTCAGATATTAACATCACAGTTGTGAGTTACCATTTCTGGCTGACGTTCCTTTGTGTTTTCACAATTCACAATTTTCCTGAATTGAAACTCTTATAAAAGTGTTATAAAGGACCTGATAAAGGACCTGGCTTTAAGAAGAGAGTGATGTCCTTGGAGAGCATTTGGTCCTAAACATAATGTCAGTGTTTAAAACTTCTTTCAGCACTTACTTCCTTCAGTGTTCTAGACTTGGTAGTACAGCAGTTGGCCTTTCAAGTTGAAGAACCGTGTTCACTGTTCATGTGTGTTTATATTTTCTGTTACTAAATAGTATGGATAGTGTTTCTTCATTTCCGACTTGAACGTATTTCCCAGCGATCCTCACATGTGTGTAGGAGCTCAGTGAATGTTCATTTGAGCAAGTGAAGCCTGTAGGACCAGCCAATTAGATGCTGATTTAGATACAAGATTTGGAGTGAGACTGTATATTTGTGGCATCTGATTTAGCAAGCCAAATCACTCCTCTGGGAATTGTGTCAGCCTTTGCAGTAATTGGGAGAAATGCCAGACCAAAGAATCTCTATGATGAAATTGGCTGTCATACTGTGGCTGAACCTCTGCTTCTCTCAGTCTAGCAGTTGTTTGTATTTTCTGAGCAGGAGTGAGTCTTCAGAATCCTTTACAGCCTGTATATTTGTCTCTAACCCTGTAGTAGTTACTCTTCTGTTGCTGTGATGAGATACTGAGACCAAAAGTAACTTAACAGAAGAATTAGTTTTAGCTTATGGCCCTAGAGAGAGAGTCCATATGTCAGGGAAGTCATGGGGCAGCAGGAAGCTCACTGATCATATTTCACACAGGAAGCACAGAGAGCAAACAGGAAGTAGGATGAGGTTATAAACCCTCAGAGCTTACCCCCAGGGGTGTACTTCCTCCAGCAAGGCTTAAAGGTTCTTAAAGATTCCATAGCCTCAGCAAACAGCCCCCTTGCCTTGGCACCCAGTATTCAAACACAAGAGCCTGGGCGGGACACCAGAAACCCTAGAGCTTGGTGCTTCTGTAGTCTGCAAGGACACTTGCAGAAAGAGGTTTGATGAGTGATGGTAAGACTTTGCACTCTTACTGTTTTCTGGTGTCTCTCATCTTGAGTGTAACATGACAAGTTCTGATCTGAGTCGCAGTGAGCCTGCTTCATTAGCTGAGTGTCATAGCTATGATGTGATTTTTTTTTTTTTCAGCATTGTGAATTCTTAATTTTGCTACAATACTTTTTTTTGGAAGTGAAATCTTGCTACGAACTGAGACTGGCCTTGAACTGGCTTTGTAGCCTGGCTGGCCTCCAACTTATGGCCCTTCTGCCTTGACCTCCTGAGTGCTGGGGTACAATTGCTCAGCACCATGTGACCTTCCCATAACTTTTGATTCTTCCCATTCCAGGTGAATCTGAAGACAGGTGTTCCTCCAGACAGCAATAATGAAACCTGCACAGCAGGTGCCGGTTCTCTCCTGGTGGAATTTGGTATTCTGAGCCGGCTGCTGGGGGATTCCACTTTTGAGTGGGTTGCCAGACGAGCTGTGAAAGCCCTCTGGAACCTTCGGAGCAACAATACAGGACTACTAGGTGGGGTTCACCTTCTGCCATCAGTCGGTCTCTATAACCCTCGGTCCTCTTTCCTTCTCCTCTAGACTATGCACTTTACTTCATCTTCTCTGCACCAGTGGATCTAGAAATTGTTAACTTGAACAGTAGCCATTGGTGCTTCATGGGTTGAGTTTCTTCCATGACCTTTTGCTTAGTGTGAAGTTCTAGGGTTTAATAGAAGACCGTAATGGTTCAGCTGTTAGAGCCCCGTCGGTTTGAATCCCTTGGTATATTCCATTGGAAGTTATTGTTCTTTCAATATAAGGTTTTGAAAATACAGGAATTTAGCATTTCCAGTAGAGAGACTTTCTTCTAAAAAAAAGAAAAAAAGGTGGGGGAATCTAGGTGAAAGCCTAATTGAAACATGTATTAGATTCCACCCCTTTGAGAATGTTTAGTCAACATATTTAAAAATTATTATGGAAAGACTAGACCAGGCTGGGCTCAAACTCACAGAGATTTGTCTACCTCTGCCTCCCGAGTGCTGGGATTAAAGGCATGCACCACCAACACCAGGCTTCAAAATGGGTTTTTAACATCATAAAATTGTCTTATTGGGACATATTTTCTTTTTGACATCTGGAAATAACTTGTTTTGGAACATTGGATCAACTATAAAAAAATTAAGTAATTTGTTTTGTTTTGATGTTTATAAACTTTATACATTGCATAGCAGCAGTAAAAATAAAGTCACTCAGGCTGAAAGTGACACACACACCTGAAAATACAGCACTCTGGCTGAGGCAGGAGTTAGGTTGAGTTTGAGGCCAGCCTGGGCTGCATACTGAGAGACCTTGTTTCAACATGGTTGGCCACTTAGCTTTTCTTAGGCACTGTTAGTCTTCCTTAAGTAACTTTTGTGACTTCAGTTATAACACAGTCCTAAGAGAAACAGTTTGTATGCATTTGGCAGGTCATTCTGAGTTTCCAAATTGTTGCCCTACTTTCATAATTACCAATTTTAAAAGTTATTATTATTATTTTGCTTGTTTCTTTTCTCTTTTTTCTTTTCTTTTCTTTTTCTTTTTTTTTTTTTTTTTGTTTGTTTGTTTTGCTATCCAGCCCAAGATGAGCTCAAAACCCCCATCCTTTACTCCTGTGCACTAGCATACCTGGCTATTTTTTGTGGTGTTGGAACTCAGGTCCTTGTGTATAGTAGGCAGCTACTCCACCACTGATCTGTATCCCCAGCTCTGACCTTTTATTTTTATGAGCAATATTTTCGGGACAAATTCCAGTGAATGAGAATATGGGGTTAAAGGCTGTGAATACTCCTTTGGGTTTTGAAATGCATTACCATTCTGGGAAAACAAAATGTCAAGCCTATTTTTTTTTCCCCATTAAATGTTTATTTCCATTTTTCCTCTGTGACTGACTATTACATTCATGCACATCTGAGTGCTATAGAATGATCTCTCTGTTCATCAAGTTATTAGACTCAGCTGTCCATTCCTCATGTCTGCGAGGGGTAAGGATGCTGAGAAGCAGTGGGACAGGAGTAGGAAGGCCTTACCCTGCATTCTCCCCTTTCCTGCCATGGTCGAGACCAGAATGCCTTGTTTGTGTCTTTCCACAGGCAATGTTGTGAATATCCAGACAGGCCACTGGGTTGGAAAGCAGAGTGGCTTGGGTGCTGGTCTGGATTCCTTCTACGAATACCTCTTGAAATCTTACATCCTTTTTGGAGAAAAAGAAGACCTAGAGATGTTTAATGCCGCATATCAGAGCATCCAGAGCTACCTGCGAAGAGGGTATGTGTCCCTGATGTCATGTCTGTTGCCCTGTAGTGTTCAGTTCCTGCCCAGCTCTGCTTCCATTTTCATATCTATTTATTCATTTATTTCTTTTATTATCACTGCTTATTTTATTGTTTTTGGAGAGGTACACATATGGAGGTCAGAGAGACAACTTGGGGGAGTTGGTTCTCTACCATGTTAGCCCAGGAGTGGAGTCTGGGTGTTCACGATTGATGGCAAGCATCTTTTTCCGTCACATCGTCTTGCTGTCTACTTTCAATTTAAGAATTTTAGGGGTGGAGTGTCACTGGAGAGCCCCGGTACTCATTTGGACTCAGATCTGCAGCAGCCCTCTTGCTTGTGCTTCCTGAGTACAGGACTCACAGCACACAGCAAGGGTCTTACTATTACTCTTCAGTGGTGTGGCGTGCAGTCGATTCACATTTCTTGCAATAGCCTCCTGTATGCTGGGATTATAGTTGTAAGCTTCCCTGACAGCTCCATTTCTCTTAATATAAACTTTCAGCATCTATTTGTGTCCTTTCTTACTGTCTCTCTTAACTGATTGTTAGTCATTTGGGAGTTGGTCATTGTATGTCATAGTATCTCCAAACCTGGCAGCTTAAAATCTCTCACAGTTACTAAGTGGCAGAGATCTGGGAACTGGGGAATTGTGGATTTTGGTTCAGAATCTTAAATGAAGTACTTTTTTTTTTTTTGAGACAAGGTTTCTCTGTATTGTTTTGGAGCCTCTCCTGGAAATTGCTCTGTAGACCAGGCTGGCTTCTGAACATTGGTTTGTTTGTTTGTTTTTTTTTAAAATGATAATATTTTCCTATTTAAATTTGAAGCAAAATTGTTTTACATGTCAATAAATGAAGTACTCTTAACCCCTGAACCATTTCTCCAGTCCTAGGATTATCCTTTAGTGTAAAACAATGGATAATACCCCACCCCTGCTTGAAGTCTGTTCAAAATATTCTTTGCTGGTTTTTTTTTTTTTTCTTTTTTCCGTACATTCAGAATGTCCATAGAGACAGTCTATGAAGAAGCTGTGCAAGGCTGCAGAGGCTTCCACCCCAGCCCCCAGCGCTCCCTTCCCCAGGCCTTTCTCTGTACATGTATGTAGTAAATGCCTATTGCAAGTAATAGCTACTGTGCTGCTGGTTTCACAAGCTTTTCACTCATTTCTATATCAGCTATGGTAGGGACCATGTTTGTGGGAGCTCCTGGGGGTTGGAGAGACAGCTCAGAGGCTAAGAACTCAAGCAGAGAACCCAAATTTGGTTCCCCAAACCCATATGTGGTAGCTCACAACCTCTAACTCCAGCGTCAGGATATCTGATGCCTTCTTCTGGCCTCTTTGGGCATCCACATCACATGCACAGGTTTGAGTGTACAAGTAGATTCTCATAAATGCACAAATAAAAAGTTTAAACTCTTGCAAAAACAAAACAAAACAAAAACAAAAACAAAAAAACCCACACACTTTTGGAGTTGTCATTTTTCTCTTCTTTGTTTTCTTTCCCTAGTGTGGGTGCTGAGTGTAGCTATTGCTACAGCTGTTTTGGTTGTTTTGTCAGACAGTCCTTGTAGACCGCAGATGTGGACTGCTGCGGACTGCTGCGTGGTGTGAATGTTGTTGTTACGGAGAGAGTACGCTAATTTTCTCTGGATTGCAGTTTCACTGGTTTTGGTTGAAGTGTGCTCTGTTTTGCTTTCTGAGCCTTGCTATCCTCCTGCCTTGGCTCCTGTGAGTGATGATTAAAGACTGCCGGGCCAGTTCATTTTAGCTTTACGGTGCGGAAGTGAGTAGAAAGCTCTCAGGGTCCTGCCTTGATGCATCCCTACAGGCTTTTTTCCCCTTTCTGTACCAGAGAAGAGAATGAAACATGCTTCCTGCTTGGGTCAAGGCCAACACGGACTAATTCTGTTACATGCCAGTGTTCTGAAACTCAGATGTCAAAGTGCTTTCTGCAAACATAATGAAATCTTAATATTTCACAGAGGCTATGGTTAGAACTAGGTTCTTGTATAGATACCTACAGACAGTCTTCTTGCCAAATATATAGGGAAGGAATTAGGAAACAGCATTGATTTTGCTTCAGGGAAACACCGGGAGATAAACTGTCAAGGGAGTAGGGCTGGAGCTGTCTGCAGCTTCTCTTTTCATCTGGGTTGTACTCTTTGGATCCACAGCCGGGAAGCCTGCAATGAAGGAGAAGGGGACCCACCACTCTATGTCAACGTGAACATGTTCAGTGGGCAGCTCATGAACACCTGGATTGACTCTCTGCAGGCTTTCTTCCCTGGACTGCAGGTATTTTGCAGTCAGGTTTCTTGAGATGGGTTGGGGAGATGGCTCAGTGGGTAAAAGTGCTTGCTGTGTGAGCCTGCAGACCTGAGTTTGAATCCCGAAAAGCCAGTGCTGGCAGCACTATGCTGAAGGTGGGGTTTGGGCAGCTCAGAGAGATGAGAGGTTCACTGAGGGCTTACTGGTTGCTGTGCTAGCCTAGCTCCAGGAAGTAAGGTGGAGAGTCATAGAGTAGATGGCCTACTTTGGCTCCCAGGTATAACATGAACGAATACATATGTGTATGTGGTGATATCTTGCTTGTACAAATAAACCCTGTTTGAAGATTAGAGGATGAAGCTTGCCACTAGCTAACCATAGAGGTCTGGAGGCCTGTACAGGCAGATAGGAAGTGAAATGGCTGGACAGAGAGAGGATATAATCAGGAAGAAACAGGAACTCTCTCTTGTCCACTGAGCCACTAAGGAGGTAAATGTAGCTTTGGCTTGCTCCTTCTCTCTACCTCTCAGCATTTTCTCCATATCTGACTCTGGGTTTTTATTATTTAGACAAATTAAGAACTCTATTTACATTTTTCTGCCCAATGCACCAACCCATGATCCTGAGATTAAGAGTCTCATGATCTACCAATTTAGCTAGCCAGTAGACAGAGGGGGAGTTCCTGTTTCTTCCCACTTATATCCTCTCTCCGCCCAGCCATCTTACTTCCTGTCTGTCTGTGCAGACCTCCAGACCTCTATGGTTAGCTCGGGGCAAGTTCCATCCTCTGATCTTCAGACAGGCTTTATTTGTACAAGATATCACTACATGTGCTCACACGCACACACATGTACACACACAACACCAATTTATTAAGAATAAGCCTTTATTGGGAAAGTTCCCAAAGGAGCATTCTGACTCCTTTGGATTTGGGAGGTTAATAGAACACCTTGACCCCTCTGTGAAATCAGTCCCTAGACTTGAAAATTTGCCTATGATTTTAGATAGTTTGCCTGTGTTGTCTCTGTAGGTGCTGATAGGGGATGTGGAAGACGCCATCTGCCTCCATGCCTTCTACTATGCCATATGGAAACGGTACGGGGCTCTCCCTGAGCGCTATAACTGGCAACTCCAGGCCCCTGACGTTCTCTTCTACCCACTGAGACCAGAGTTAGTGGAGTCCACGTATCTCCTCTACCAGGTAATTGGCTTACCGAGCACTGGTTTACGGTTGCATGCTGACTTGATAGAGTTGCTTCTTGTTTCTGTCTTGCTAGAGGTCACTTTTCTTGATTCTGTAGGATGGAGAGAGAAAGTGTCTGTAGCCAAATATGCTTTTAAACTCACATTTTTATAAAGATTCGTTTCTTTACTATGGGTTTATTTTTCTTATCTTTGAATATTTAAGGGAAGATTTCAGTTTTCTAGATTTGGCTAAAGAACCTTTGGGAAGACGTAACTTTCCCCAGTTTTTTTGGTTTACATAAAAGCATTATTGCACAAAAAGATTTTTTTGTATGTATGTTTTTAAAAGTGTGTGCGTGCAATCACTGTAGTAACAGAGGAAATGTTATTAACAGTGTCTCCTTGATAGCTGAAGCCTGGTATATAGACATTTTTACATACATATATAACACACAGCCACAGTTCTGTCAACCTAAGCTCTTAGCTTCCCGAGAAGCTGGTTCTAATACATTTAGTAGGTATGAGACAGGCAACTGCAGTGTGCAAGGATCCTCATTTGTAGGATTCATTCTGTGCTTTAGATTTATTTTTAAAAAATTACAGTACTAGAAGTCACTGCTTCTAGGTTGAAAAAGTAGTGTGTGTGGTGGGGCGGGGATGGACTCCAGTGAGACCGCTGTTAGGACTCGTATCTCAAGAGACCTCACGAGGTTTAGAGACTGTCTTGAAAAAAGGGAAGAGGTAACCTCGGACGTGGTTTCTCTGAGCTTAGTGTAACATGAAGCTACGCCTGCTCTGAGGATGTCTTCCCTACTGGCTGCTGTGTGGCTTGTAGTAGCTTAGCTCTGTTGCCTGTAGGTTTAACACCTCGTTCTTATTTGCAGCTCACCCTTGTCCACTGTGTACTTGGAATCCAGAGGAATCTTCCACTACAGGTTTCTCCTCTAAGGCTGCCCCAGGCGCTTAATCTAGAAGCAGCCAGCATACTGCTATTTCCTCTTGTTGCTGTAGGTTGGCAGTAGGCATGAATTAGAAGTTTTGGGGTAAAAGTCTCATCTTCCTAGAGACTCTCCTCCCACAATCAGATAGCATGTGACAGAGGAGTAAAGACCTGACCTCCGATTTCCTGGGTGATGAGAACAAAGTGTTCAGGCCTCACTTAGAGGCCTTTTCTCTAGAGGACCATCGTCCCCTTCACTGTGCCTCACAGTGTAATGACTGCAATGAGGCAAAGTCCTGTTTCCCTGTCTTTGCTTCTTGTTTCTAGCTAGCTCTGAGGCAAAGATGGAAACCAGATTTGTTCTTTGCTATAGTACCTGCTGGATGGGCATTGTTTCTTTTTTGATCATGGTAGGCATCAGTAGAGCCCAAGTAGTGCATGCCCTTGTGCAGATTTCCTAACCCTAATACAGTTAAACACATCACAGGTATTTGCTGACTGATAGCCTTAGTCAGATGAAGTGGGTCTGGCCTTGTTCCTTCCTTTAGCTGGGGACCCATCTCCTCAGGGAACCCTTCAGTCACTCTGATGTGTGTTGATGATGTCTCTTCCAAGCCCTTCCTGCATCACATTCTCTTGTGTTTTGTCTAGGCAACCAAGAATCCCTTCTACCTCCATGTAGGAATGGACATTCTGCAGAGTCTGGAAAAATACACAAAAGTCAAGTCAGTGTTCTAAATGTCTTTTTATTATTCGGATGCTTGTGATTGACTGAGTTGTTCTAGAGAAATACTGTTTTAAAAAATTAAATTTAGTTATATATATTTTTATTTATGTATTTTCTGTGTATGAATGTTTTATGTCTTATATGTGTGTACCATATATGTTCTGGTGTTCTTGGAGGCCAGAGAGGCCTTAAGGTCCCCTGTGACTGGGTTACAGATTCTTGTGGGCTACCATGTGAGTGTGTGAGTGCTGGGAATTGAACTTGGGGCCACTGGAAGAGCAACTAGTGCTCTTAACCCCTAAGCCTGTTTTTTTTTTTTTTTCTAATATTTTAATTATGTCTGTGAGCATGTGTCTGTGTGAAGAGTTAAAATTGGTTGTGAACTACCTATTGTGGGTGCTGAGACCCAAACTGAGGTCCTCAGCAAGATCATGGCATGCCCTTAACCTTTGAGCCACCTCTAGTCCCTTAGTTATTCTTTAAAATTATGTTTATTTAGTGTGAGTGTGAGTGTGTGTGTGTGTGTGTGTGCGCGCATGCGTGCGTGTGTGCACATGTGTTTGTGGGAGGAGGGCTGCCACATTCATGCCACAGTGCATGAGTGGAGGTCAGAGGACAACCTGCAGGAACCTTTTTCTCCCTACACTGAGGGTCCTGGAGACAACTCAGATTGCCAGATTTGATGGTCAGGGAGTCATCTCTCTAGTAAGGAAATATTATTACTTGCATTTCAAATGTGTAACAAGATAACTTATGTTAGTTTGGCAAAGAAATTGTTTACCTTTTGATACAGTAGGATTTCTCCATTATAGTGGAAATTGCATTTTATGTTCCTCCCCTTCCCCATGTAAAATTTCAGCAAGCTGTTCTGTGTGAGAAGTTTGTTTTTATGTCAGTAATTCATGAAAGCACTTGAGCAAACAGAAGATATTAAGAGTGGAAGTTTCTTGTGATCTATACTTGTAGCTCACTATGGTAAGCACTGAAGTTAACCATGCTTACTGTCCTTTCAGTTTGTTATATTTATGCAGGTTGTGTATGTTGTGCATACACATACATAAAAACATATTTGTATTTTGTAACCTGCTTTTTTATATATTACCCAGGAGTATCATAGAAGATACTATTTTAGGATATGCCAACAATAATTCATTTCCACAAATACTGGGAAGAACAATTTAAATCAGTCCTTCTAAATTTATTCCTGGTCTTTCTTATGATGCCATGTTTGACCCTCCAGTGTCCCCAGCTGATGAGATGCAAGCAAACATGTTTTAAAGTAAATCTGCAAACAGTTTTGCTTAAAAAAGAAAGAAAGGGGGAAAGGAACAGTCTAGCATGGTTATTTTTTATGTTGTGTGGGAGAAGTAGGTTGATTCTCTTGATAATAGAATATCCTGGCAGGTAATGAGCACCGGGGAAGGAGCCTGAAGCATGGCTCACTGGACTCTCATTTTATAGATGTGGATATGCCACGCTACATCACGTCATTGACAAGTCAAAAGAGGACCGGATGGAGAGCTTCTTTCTCAGTGAGACCTGTAAATACTTGTATCTGGTACGTGTGTTGCAAGATTAACCAGAGGTATTTAGTACTAGTACTGTGGAAAGCAAACATTTGTGCAGTCTCCTGTCAGACAAATATTTACTAGTCACTGCTAAGTGCTGGATATTGTGCATTCCCTGAGTTACAAGTCTGGTCAGGACAAAAAGATATTGCTGTCTTCCTTTATGGTTGTCAACCTCCTGGAGAAATTATTTGTCCTGTAAACAGAAATGAGCTCATGGTTAGGAACTGTGGGAAGAGCGGGTAAAGACTGATAGAAAGTCAGCTTTATGATGGTGTTCTGGAGGCTTCTAGGAGGAGGAAAGCGGTGTTTTCTTCTTTTGTATTTTCCCTGGCATATTGGACGTTGAACTCAGAGCCTTGTGCAAGCCAGCCACACTACCAATCTGGGAGTGGTGTTTACAGCTCTTGACATGTGGTATTGTCTCAGACTTTCAGCAGAACTACCTCCGGGCCCCAATGCACATCTTCAGGCCTGCCTTTGTGTATGTGGGGAGGCAGAGACCTTGGGATTATTTAGTTACTCTTCATTTACTCTTTTGGGAACTCCAGCTTATACTGAGAGGTCAGCTAACTGGACTGAGGTCTTGTGGTAACCATACAGCTGAATGAGGCTTGAGCCATGTTCAGTATTCTTTCAGCTTCTGCATTTGTCACAGACATGTGTAGCTTCTCTTATATCTTGGCTACATACAAATAACACTTAAACTAGGTGGTGGCGGCACACCCCTTTAACCCCAGCACTCAGGAGGCAGAGGCAGGTGGATCTCTGTGAATTCGAGGTTAGCCTGGTCTACAGAGAGAATTCCAGGACAGCCAGGACTGTGACACAGAGAAACCCTGTCTTAAAAAGCAAGCAAGCAAACAAACAAACAAAAAAAAACCCAACACTTGAAAGGCACAGAGTGTTTGGAGATGGAGGCAGCAACAATAACAATAAGTTGTGTCCGGTAGTTCATTGGTCCTCAGACCTGGGGCTAGCTAGGTAGGAATGACCTTGGGGCCCTTGTAAAGACTTCTTTCAGATTGAGTCTGAATCTTTGAGAAGAATGGCCTTGAGGATTTGGTTTTGACAAAAGCCTGCACTGATAATGTGCAAAGCCAAGTTTTGGGTAAGGTGATGGATGAAGTTTGTGTTCTTCTCCTCCAGCATCTCCGCTTATGGTCGGGGGGTATATGAGGTGGAAGGTCGTTAGTTAGTTCTAGGATTCAGGTGTGAAGATTCTAGGAAGATGTGTGAAAATTAGCTGGGGAGCCTTATAGACTGCCTGTGCTTAGGTCCTGGCTGGGGGGGCTGGGGCGGGTTCTGATTCTCTGGCCTCCACAGGGAGTAAGGATTGGGGCCTATCCAGGCGTCCAAAATAAATCCTGCATTGCAGCTCTGGGAATCATAAAATTGGTGCTAGGGATTGACTTCAGGAGCTGGGTGTGCTCTGTAAGGATTTAGAGCCATATTCCAGCTCTAGTCTTCTCTTCTCCTGTCCTGCCCTGCTCTGCTCTGCCCTGTATTTCCCTTTCCCTCCTCCTCCCACCGTTGCCCTCCCTCCTTCCCTCTTTTCTCCCTCCTCCCTCACCATGGCTGGCCTGGAATTCACTATGTAGACCAGGCTGGCCTCAAACTATTAGCAATCTACTTGTCTCCACCTCCCGAGTGCTGGAATTAAATGTATATACTGCTATGCCAGGCCTATGCACTTTTCTTACTGCTTCTTTTTCTGTATCTAGCTATTTGATGAAGAAAATCCAGTACACAAATCTGGAACCAGATACATGTTTACAACAGAGGGCCACATCATATCTGTGGACAAACGTCTTCGGGAATTGCCTTGGAAGGAGTTCTTCTCTGAGGATGGGAAGCGGGACCAAGAGGAAAAGTTTGTGCACAGGCCCAAGTCTCAGGAGCTCAGAATCATTAACTCCAGTTCTAATGTGAGTTGCTTTTTCCACTGCATATGGAAAAAGAAAATATCAACCCCTTTGGTATTCAGAGTTCTGACGCAAAATAGATGATACACTCAGATTATGTAATTTGACAAGAGTTCATAAAGGGACCATTTACATAGGTGGCACTAGGATGTAGAGAAACTGGGACCAGCAGTACAGACATCAATCCTGGCTGCAGGGTCAGGTACGGAGTGATACAGCATCCTAGAAAAGTGGTTGTAAGAGGAGGAGCCACCGGCAGGTTGCACTGCTCAGATTTGGGTTCAGTGATATTCAGGGAGGAAGCCAGTATCAACAGGAGATCCCTCCCCTATCTCTTCCTCTGATGCCTCTGGAGTGGGGTGTTGTAATTGTATTTTGATGCAAGATCCCAGTTACTAATGGAGCACAAGCTGCCTTTGGACTGCGTAATGGAGGCTGGCCTTGAACCTCTGGTTCTCTTGCCACTAATGCCCAGTGTAGAATTACAAATGTGTGTCACCAAGTCTCACTCCTGCTGTCCTCTTACTGGTGCTTCTCCTTGACTGCTTCTACTAGAAACCAGTGTCAGGGAAGAAAGTTGCTGTAGTCCCTCAGAACACACTCCTTCAGGCCAGACCAGTGCAGGGGGTGAAGAGAGGTTCACTGGGAAGACTTCGGGAAGGCTACCTACTGCCCACTCGTAGGACAAGGAAAGCAGACACTCCTTTTTAAGTCATCTTTTTGTTGTTGTTTAGTATTTTTGAGACAGGGTCTCATGTAACCTTGATTGACTTCAAACTTGCTGTGTAGTTAAGTCAAGTCATTTGGTCAGGGACATTGGCAATGTCTGGAGTCATTTTTGGTACAACTGGAGGCAGGAAGTTGTCGCTGGCCCCTAAAAGTGTCGCTGGCACATACTGAGACAAAGAGAGCTTTGTCTTAAAATGTCACTAGCCTTGGATTCATGTTTCCTGGGTTTCTAATTAATTTCTCACAACTCCCCTCATTTTTTGTCTTTCTAGTGCAATCGCGTTCCTGACGAGAGGAGATACTCTCTGCCCTTAAAGAGTGTCTACATGCGCCAGATCGACCAGATGGTTGGCTTGATTTGACCTGCTCACCTTAGAGTGGCCAGACCTTAAACCAAACCTAAGCATACCAAAATCTCCTCTGAGATGGAAGGGTGATGGAGTCTGTCCATCTGTGACGCTGTAGAAGTTTCTGTCCAGCTCTTACCTCTGCTTGATTCTTGCACATAGTGTTTCCTTTCTCTTTAATAAAATAGCCTATTTTTCTGAAGGCTATAATTAGAAATGGGAAGCTACGTAGGAGCTTCTTGTGATGTGCTGATGTTCTTAAGCACAATGGATGTATTCTCTTTGGATTGTTCTTCCCAACTTCATGAATAGAATGCCTGTCTCCTCGCTCTGCCTCCACTTGCTGTGCTGAAGTATTGCTACCTCTTTGTTAGAGGATCGGGAATTCAATTCCTGTGCAAAGGTCCTGAGGTTTACTTGGCATCACTACTTACTACAGTGAAAAGTGTCATCCTTTCTCTCCTGGGTTCATCATGCATCCCCAAGTTAGCCAGCTGTGATTTTGGATCACATGTGGGAAATTCACCTGGTTTATTTATACCCTAAAGTAATTTATACAGTGTTACTTGTTTTAATGTAATGGTCTAGCCAGAAATCTGACAGGTAGCCTGTGAAGTTAGATTGAAATCTACGAGCTTAACTAACAAATCTTTTGAGCTGTAATTTGCATTTCTTTTCAACCTCATCTTACCTAAAGAACTCCTGTGGTTCCAGAACCAGGTGCCTTCCAGGGAGAGGAAAACTTTAGGCTTGTGTAAGCTTCCATCTCTCGTGTTTCATAACTGAGGATGCTCAATGCTGACTATCTTTGGGTTAGACTTCTGTTCTTGTTGGCTTATGTGTAGTGCCAATTAGCTAATCAGGGACAAAGAAATGATCAGATGACTTTCTGACATCCTTGAGCCATTTCTCTATGTGATACAGGCTTTAGATTAGTGCCTTATGGGTTTTGTTTGGGCCATTGGCTGTGACAGCCACTGTGGTGCCTGTAGGCAGCTTGTTTTGTAATGCCATATAATGGAATCAATAAAGAACAGGGTAGGTATGAGAAAGATTCCTGGAAATCAGTTTGTCAGTCTTTGCCTTTTTAACCTGTGATTGTAGCCAGGTCTAAAGGAAGAAATTATAAGAAAATACCTTTTGTTGTTTCTTTAGCTGTAAGAGAAAGCTCTCTGAGTTTACAAAGACTGTTCTAAAAAGCAGAGCTTGTCCTGACCCCTAGCCTGACCTTCTTGCGTTGCAACATGTTAAAAGGCATCGTAGGCAAAGGGTGGGCAATCTATGAGAAAGCTGATCCAGCCTCACGTATCTTGTGTCTTCCCTGTGTACTGTGTATACACTTAAAATTAGTTCATTTCAGTCTCTTACAGCCAGGAAAAAAGCCTTTGAACCATTTGATTTTAGTCAAAAGGGAGAAATTGTATTCTTTCTTCAAAATGTGTTACCATTTTGAAAATGCCATTCAGTTCCTTGACATTTTTAGAACGGAACGGGGTTTTCAGTTATGAATGTGTCACCTTTTAAACACTTACTATGCAATTGGTTTATTTATTTGTTATGAATATTAAATACTTCTGTTTTCTTTTGATTTCACAAGCATTGTTTTGTGTGTCAACAATGTCTCCTCTACTGTATAGAAAGCTTTCTTTGAGAAAATGATCTGTTTCACATGTTTTTGTTCATTTAGTAAAAGTGTTAATCATATGCTTGCACAGGTATGTGTGTGTGTATGTGTGTGTGTGTGTGTACCCCTTTTTACCTTTGCTCTAGGCAAGTTCACACACGACTGAATGATCCACTAGGAACAATGAAGACGTGTCAGGGAAGGAAGTGCATTCTGCAAGCTTCTTTACCGTCTTCCCTGTGTCTTTGGTTTTGTGACAACCAACAGTAGGGTATGTCAGCACCCAACAGACCTCTCTCACTGAGCTTTTCATCTATCACTCTTGAATGGGCTTGGGTTGTTTCTTCTCCCTGTGCTCTTGGAATCTTGATCTGTGTCTGGAAGTAAAGTACATGGTGCCTTGAGTGCTGTCAGTGGGTCTTAGGGGTATAGGCAGACATGCAGTGTATTTTATTGAGTCTCAAACCCTCTTGACTTTTGGCTACTGGACTTTTCACCTGTTGAAAAGTCTGGGGTAAGTAAGATAATGTCAGAGATTCGTGGGCCCAGATGAAGAACACCGGTGCCAGTCATATAAGGAACATCATTTGAGTCAAGTTCAAAGCTGACTTATTTGCTTTCTAAAAAAAAATCAAAAATGTCAGCAACTATGGCGTACATCTTTCAGTGTGTTTGCTGTTCCTTCTGTGTGCTGAAATATGGGTAAGAATTCTCTAATTCTCTCCAGGAATACCTGGAATATGAACAGATAGCTTCACAGATGTTTGCAAGGTCTATAGAGCTGGACCATGCTTGTGTTCCCACGAATAGCCAGTGTTTAGTGTCCAGTTTGGCCAGCATGTTCAAAGTGTAGCAAGCTGCCTTATGGTTAGGTATGGTGGAGGCCTGTTCTACAACCAACAGGCTTGCCTTAGTGGCTATAAATATTGTGACAGAGGAACTCCATTCTCCTAAAAGAGGGGTGACAAAGAAATGCTTGGTGGCTCTGATTGCTTTGGCCGTTGTGAAAAACAGGTTTGTTTTTCGAAGTTTCCCTTTAGTTTCCTCCTGATCTGCCAGAGCTTGCTCTTGGAAACTCAATTTCTAGTTCTGATGATGTCTGGGGTTTTCTTGCCTTGGATTTCAGCCTCTGTACATGATGTTCCAATAGTTTTCTGTGTGTTGAAGGGAAAACACGTGAGGGCAGTGCCTGGGCAGGTGAGTGTCAGGGAGTCCATATTTTTACCGGTGGGGTTAAATGTAGTTGTCTCCATACCATCTCCCCTGTCCTCTCTCCCCTGTGGAAGAAAAATATCCCTCTTAGCCATCTCCTCCTCAGCTCAGTGAATGAGTGCCTGCTGTAGTTCTTCACTCTGGATCTTGTAGACTGTCCATCAGACACTACTTTCCTTCAGCGCAATGAGGTCTTGTTCTCTTGACATGTACACATTCAGTGCTGGTCAGAGGCTAGGCCTGAGTGGTCACCTCAGTCACAGAGTGGCTGAGCAGGGACTTGAGAAGAAGGTGCTGATCTTTGCTCTCCTGTCCCAGCTGTCCAGCACTTTCTCTAGTCCCTCTTCCCTGCAGGGCAGGGACTCCTTGAGAATTGGAGAAGGTCGTGTGTGGGCCGTGTGGCCCCGATTCAGCAGGGTTCAGGGTTAGGGTCCCTCTTGAATTTGGATGTGAATCTCCTAAAGATGTCAAGTACCTGTGACACCCATCTTCACTACGTCCGAGAGGAGGACCAGTACTATTTTTAAGGTGTTTGGTTTTAGTGTTAAATAGAAAACTACAAGCTGCATACAGCTTTATTTATTACATACGTGAAAAGTAAATCTGTTTTTACAAAACAAAAAATCTAGAGTTGGAAACTCTGGGATAACTTACAGAGATGCACAAATGCTTCTCTCTCTCTCTCTCTCTCTCTCTCTCTCTCTCTCTCTCTCTCTCTCTCTCTCATTCTCTTCCTCCCTTCCCCCCCCCTGTGATGTGCAATATGCTTGGCCACCATAGATGATACTTCATGTTTAATCTGTAAATAAGAAATGTATTTAAATTAAATGGGAGATTTTTGTAAAAGGACCAAATGTTCTTTTATAAATGTACTAAGGAATATCTTGCTCTTTGAAATTTATTAGGATTTTTATGAATGATTTTTATTAAAAGATTCTTTTTTGAGTTGTTACTGTGTTTCTCCTTTGAATATTTGGATATATTCATTTTGTGCAGGAAAAGGGGAAAATCGCTTAGAGAAGTGATCAGCTTTGATGACTAAATGCTTTAGTTTTTTGTTTTGTTATTTTCCTTAGCAGCTAAGCTTTGAGAGGTGTCTCTTTAGTCATCTGACACAGCTTTATGTTTGAATAATATCCTTCATGGAGGACAAAACCCTTTTCCAGTGCCCTGTTGCTATCCTCTTACTACATTCCTGTCGAGTGGTTCCTTCTCAGTCTTGTTTCCAGTTACCTGTGTTCTGGAACCAGTTCTCTATTGTCCTAAACAAGGCACCTCATATCTTCCTCACTGGTGGGGTAGTGAGTGGTGCTGGGCGATAATGGCACACATCTGTAATCCTCACTCTCCAGGGGCTTGAGGCTAGCCTGGGCCACCTATCTTTAAAAGCAAAACAGCATCACCTTCTGGTGATATACGGAACATTGTCCTCAGGAAACTTGAAATGCTTATAGAGGTCTGCCTTCCCTCCTTGCACTGCTTCCCCGGGTTTCTCGTGGTAAAGTTAGCACATCATTTTTATGGTGCTTCCATATCCCATCTTCTGGCCATAGGCAGGTCTGACAAACCAGGGAACGAGTGATGCCCTAAGGTTCAGGAGAGATGGGAAGTATTTGCTGTAAGAAGAGCTTGGGAAGTGTTTGCTTTAAAAGGAGCTCTACCTTCACCAGACAGGGGCTCAGCAATTAAGAAGACTTTCACTTGCTGGAGACTGGGGTCAAGTTCATAGTACCCATGTCAGGTGGCTCACACCCTCCTGTGTTTTCAGTCAAGGGGATCTGACATCCCCTTCTGACCTCCCTGGACACCCACACAAATGTGCACATGAACACATGTGCGCACACTCACTCAAGTACACAATCTTTTTTTTTTAAAGTGCTGTGTTTGTGAAGTGCCATGGGTTTTGTACCATCCTCATAAAACCATACTGCTCCATGGTCACCAAGACAAATAAAAAACATGGATTTGTGTCTATCCCATTTTCCCAGAGTTCCTTGCCTCCATGATTGTGAGCATACAACCTTGGCCAGCCAGTACTGAGTGTTATGGAGCTTTGCCGATGTCACTAGCAAGTTAAGATTATTTTTATTATTTTTAATTATGGGTGCCTGCGTAGACCTGTGTATATGAGCGTAAGCACCTGTGGAGGCCAGAGGCTGCAGATTCCCACAGGGCTGGAGTTCTATGCAGTTGTGAGCAGTCCAATTTTGGTGCTACGTTTTGTGGCTCAAGCTGATCTTGAACTTGATCCTACCTTTGCTAGGATTAAAGAAAGCCGTGCACCACCATGCCTGGTTCTGACTTTTTTTTTTAATTCTACAGTTCACATGCAGTTCTTTGGCCAGTTATCCTCCATCCTTTTTACCCTCTCGTTATCCCTTAACTGTCCCATCAAACCCTTCTTCCCAAGCCTTCCCAAGCCCTACTTCTACTTTGGTGTGTGTGTGTGTGTATGACTGTGACTACATTTACTTAGAGTTGCTTTCATGAACATGGATGAGGAATTATATACGGGTACAGTGGCCCCATCCCTGAGAAATGCCTGCAGCTCCCTGGGGAGGGGTGTGTTGATGGGCCCAGTCTTGTTTGGGTCTGGGCTGCTGTTTCTGTGAGTTCATGTGTGTAACCACTATGTCATATCCAGAAGGTGACTTCTAACAGCACCCCACCCCACCCCCTGCTTCCACTGGGTCCTGAGCCTGTGTTAGGAAGGAGAAGGGTATGGGAGTAGTGATGCCATTTAGGGCTGAACAGCCTGGGTGGCTTCAATTTTCCTGTCATGTGGAATAGTTTATGTACCTCGTGTGGTGGTGAGGACTGGAGCAGATTCCTATGTGCGATGTGTATTGGTTTCCTGAGAAAGGTCTTTGTGTATATTTTATTTATTTTTAAATTTTGTATTTACGTGTGGGTTGGTAGGGTTGCATGTGTGGAAGTCAGAGGACACCTTGGGACTTGTGAGAGTCGTTCTTCCACTATGTGGGTCCTAGGAATTGAAGTCAGGCTTGGTGGCAAGTGCCTTTACCCACTGAGCCATCTTATAGGACCCCCCTAGAGTATATTTAAAAGTGTGTGTGTCGTCCTGGGTTAAACCCAGAGCTTTAAGTAAGTATTCTGTCACGGAGCCATCTTAAGTTTCTCTTTATATTTTTACGTTTGAGATCCTCCTGCCTCAATCTTCCAAGTACTTGAGACTACAGGTGCGCAGCATCAACCCTGACTTCAACAGGACAGTAGGAGAGGTGTGGACTAAGTCAGAGAGGCCTGCTTGGAAATTCTGTTCTGGCCCTCTGAGTGTGTGGCTTGCGTTCAGTTGTTAGCCTCAGGTAGTATCTTGTTCATAACACCCGTGCTCCCAGGCTTCTCAGGATGGCGGGGTGCACTGCAAACTCATTTTGTCAGAATGTGCTGGTGGCAGCATCTAACATCTTTACCTGTGTCCCTTCTACCCTGTCTTCAGGGAAGTACATTATTCTGCCTTAGCACATGAGGCCCTATTGCCCTGATGCCACCCATCGTTGAGGGACACACCTGTCATATGTTGTTGCACATAGCTTAGCAGGCTTACCCTACACACTTCAGCAGTGGAGGTGAGTTCTATTTCTGTGTCTACCCCTGAATGCACTGGGAAAATAATCTGCCCTGTAGTCAACACTGGGACCAATGACCTGGAGTTCTTTGGGAACCATTGTTAATTGTCTGTAGTCTCAAGAGAAATGGGTGTTCCCAGAGGACACAGTGCAACATGTCTCGTCCCAGGGACGCCTTCCAAGTGGGTCAGGAGAAGGGTTGCTCTGACAGACCTGCTCTTGGCTTCGGGAACTTAAGTCCTGGGTGCCGGGCCTCTAGATGTATCAGGCAATAAAGACCTTTCACCTCAACTTGGAGTATTCTGTGTGACTTTGTGGGGGTGGGAAGAGGTTCCTTTGGGGGTTGGCACTGGCTCAGCACACAGAAGAGCCCACTTTGAAGAGATTTCTCAAATACCACCTTTGCAAGTTGGAGTTTCTTTGACTGAGCTATTTTGAAGCTTAGCCCTGGGAGACCTGATCTAGCAGCCATAAGTGATCAATTTCCTACAGAACATGGCATGCTCCTACAGAAAAGATCGAAGGTCTGCTTGTGAAAAGTTTTTATTTTTTGTTTGTTTTGTTTTAGGGACCAGCTTCTGTTGTTCAAAAGCCTATCTGGGTGAATTATTATTTTTTAAACAAATATTGATGTTAATTTTTGTATTAATTTTACATATCAACCTCAGTTTCCCCTCTATCTCCTTCTGTTCCCTCCTCCACCTCCTTTTTACCCTCCCCTCCCACCCACTCCCCTGAAAAGGTAAGGCCTCCCATGGAAGTCAACAAAGCTTGGTCTATCAAGTTGAGGCAGGACCAAGCTTGTTCCCCATGCATCAAGGCTGAGCAAGGCATACCACCATAGGGAGTATGTTCAGAAGAACCAGCTCATGCACTAGGGACAAGTACTGGTCTTTCTGGAGAGTGGGGGGAAGGAACAGACCAAGCTATACAACTGTTACCCACATGTAAAGGGTTTAGGTTGGTCCCATGCAGGCTCCCTAACATGTCCGATTAAAGTCCATGAGCTCTCATGAGTCTCAGCTGTGGGCTTCCCCCATCATGTTATTGATCCCTCCTCCCCTTGCTCATATGATTCCTTCTCCCTCTCTTCAACTGGACTCCCACAGCTCTACCCAGTGCTTGGCTGTGATCTCTGCATCTGCTTCCATCAGTTACTAGGTGAAGGTTCTGTGATGACAAGGTAGTCGCCAATCTGATTACAGGGGAAGGCCAATTCAGAGACCTTCTCCACAATTGCTAGGTATCTTAGTCGGGGTAATCCTTGTGGGTTTCTAGAAGTTTCACTGGCACCAGGTTTCTCCCTAACCCCATAATTGTTCCCTCTATCAAGATATCTTTCTTTGTCCTCCCTCTCTGTCTCTCCCATAACTTGGCCAGCCTGATCCTCATGTTCCCATCTGCTACCCTCTAACACCCCTGTCCCCATCCTCTGTACTCAGTTTACCCAGGAGACTTCATTTGTTTCCCCTTCCCAGGGTGATTCATGCCTCCCTCTTAGGGTACTTCTTGTTACCTAGCTTCTCTGGGGCTGTGGATTGTAGACTGGCTATCCTCTGTTTTATATCTAATAGCCATTTGTAACAGAGTACATATGGTGTTTGTTTTTTGGGATCTGGTTTACCTCACTCAGCATGATTTTTTCTAGTTCCATCTTTGCCTGCAAATTTCATGATGTCATTGTTTGTTTTTTCCCACTGAGTAATACTCAATTTTGTAAATGTACCACATTTTCTTTATCCATTCTTTGGTTGATGGGCACCTGTCTAGGTTGTTTCCAGGTTCTGGCTATTACGAATAATGCTGCTATAAACGTAATTGAGTAAGTGTCCTTGTGGGAAGATTAAGCATCCTTTTGGTATATGCCCAAGAGTGCTATCACTGGATCTGGAGGTAGATTGGTTCCCAATTTTCTGAGAAACCACCATACTGGATTCCAAAGTGACTGTACAAGTTTCCACTCCCACCAGCGATGGAGGAGTGGTCCCCTTACTCCTTGTGACTTCCAAGGGGACACATATGCACTATCTGGCCCTGAACAGAAAATTCTGTCCACTTTCTGTCCTTTGGATGTAAGACATTGAAAGATAACAGCGCTATTCATAGCAGCATTGTTTTGTCAAAGTAAACAGAAAAATAACAGCCCAAACAAAAACAGCCAAAACATCACAAAACAAACATAAAAGGGAAAATTACCCCACTGCACATCAGAAGTCAACAATCTACATTGGAATGTTACAGAATAAAGATCGAGTAACAATCCATTTATCTGTTGTCCACAACCCACCCGAACTAAATCCATTGCTTAGAGATACAAAATTAAATAAAACATAAGTGACATAATCTTCCTAATAAATCAG